GAAACAGGGCTAGAATACAAGGAAATGATGATAATAAAACCAATATTGCTTCATGGATAGAATGTCCGATTTAAAAAAATTACTTAAAATAATATTATAGTGAAGTGGAAGTGTAATTTAACAGCTTCAATAGAGAGGGGAGTTTAATTTAAGACCACGAAAAGTTTGACGGTTTTCCGCTCTTCAATCGTTAGTAGTTATATTCAGTAAGATAACAACATTATAACCTCAACCGAATTGAAATGGTGGGTTTGTTTCACTTAAAGAAATTCTGAAACTAAGTTTCATTGTAAGGATGTAAATAAGGATTGATACTTTTTCTTGGTACTTATTTTGTTTTGCACATTAAGATTAAGTCTTAAGATTAAGGTAGTAACAACTACAATATCCGCTTCATAAATTAAACAATAGAAGTAAATGCTGGAATATTTAAAATTATAAACAGAGTACTGTAAACCATTTTTGTACAAGATTATTTTAATTAGTGAACACAGATAATCTCTCTTATGTAAACGATATTAAAATTAATATTCTTATATTTATAATTTTTCAGTTTTATTACTTTCAACTAATTCTTAATTAACTAATTCTGTTGATGGGGTACAGTTTCGCTAATTTAATGAGATCTTTTTAAATGTAATAGAATATGCAATAAAATATAATTAAAGTTCAAATTAAAGAGTCATATTTACGAAGAGTAGACTGTTAAAAAATAACATTCTTAAAAAATAAATAACATAATATAGCAAAATTATTTTACCCACCGACAAGAGAGATATATCAAACGGATCTGATGCAAGAGGTAATTGATTTGAAGTAGTCACTAAAAAAATATTAAAATGCAGAAAATATATTAAATTGAAAACAAGTTTTGTTCTTTTGTGTACAACAGAGAAAGAATTTGCAGATCTCAATTCAAAAAAAGAAGGTATGGAATAAACAAATTGAAAAAAAAAGGTTTAATAAAAATTTTTTAAGTTGATAAAGCAGCAATAAACTGAAACCCACAAGGGCATCAACGGAGAGATACTAGTAGACCTGCAGTGACTTGGAAGCGAAATATACAGACATAAACTAGCAAATCGATTAACGAGTTACGATATACTGCACAAAATAGAGATAGTTGGAAAAACTTTGTTGTATCCTTAAGCTCCTAAATGGAGTATGGAATTTAATAATAATAATAAGTTGATAACTTGAATCTTCATCAAGTATTACATTTCTAACTTCAATTCAGAGTTCCTTTTGAAATACTAACCTCTAGAACATTAGTTGTAATAGCAACGACTTACATTAAAGTAGGCTTTAACAGTCTCTTGCATTTATTAATGCTCTTACCGATTCCAGAATTAAATCTTAACAACTTGGGTTTCCCCGTTGATTATGTATGTAAGTATATTTAAAAAATGTATGGATAATTGCAATAACATTTGAAAATTGGTTTCAACATCCTATTATGATTTATATATAATGTTTTATTTTCATTTTTTAGTAATCAAGAAATGCTTTAATGAAAAGTTAAACAAAAAATATTTTTGCACATGGTCACAATATATTTTACATGGCCACAATAGGACGAGAGCAAAGAAAGAAATTTATATATTTTTGTGGTATATATGGCAAATATGAATACTTTTCGCGAATTTGGTATTTCTTTTGGCATATCAAAAGCTTCTGGGTGGAGAATAATTATTTAGCTTATATCAATTGAACACTAATTTATAAAAAACGCACTTGCTAATAAGGCAATAAGTTTAGATCATTTTTATTTTTTATTTTTTTTGCAGTATGTGGAAAGCATCGAAAGCCACAGTATGAGACTTGATAGTGGGTTCAAATCACCTCTCAAACCACCTCTTAGGAATGAAAGGAGAAGAAAGGCATGGAGAATAATTATTTAGCTCATATCAGTTGGACACTATTTTATAAAATACACACTTGCTAATATAGCAAAAGTGGAAGCCACGAAAAAATTTCTACACATATATTAAAACAAATGCACCACACCATAGCAAGTATTCTTATTTCAAAAGGAAGCATTACTAAAGCTTCATCTTGCAGGCAGTTTGCGATGAAAATGATCATTTTATAGGCTGTATGTTACACAGCCTGGTTCCTTACATGACAGTCGAATTTTGCATAGATAACAACTGTATAGTTAAACATCATTTCCAAACAAATTTCCCAGCGGTTCTTTTCTTTTAGGAGATTCTGCATATCTGCGGTTCTGCATGAAATGGAACAACAAAGAACACCTTCAATAATAAATTTAATTATGTGCGCATGCATATAGAATAATATATGCTGTACACAGAATGATGCAGTTCATAATGAATTCATTCAGAATGAGTATACTGGATAACAGATGGAATTTAGTAAAGCGATATATAATTGATACAAGTGCCATAACGAATCATGGTTAACATCGAAAAATTGCATACTGATTCATTTACAAATGAGTTGTAAAGAATAAAGCATATTCTACTAGCAAATTGTGTATTGTTCTGTTTTAATTAAATAAAAAAAAATCCAAATTAATGAATATATAATTCATTTTAAATTGTTTGATTTTAATAAATTATCAAACTACACGTTTGCAATAATAATAAAACGTGAATAATTAAACTAATAATTTTAATTATAGTAATAATTAAAACATTACTTTAACAAAGAAATAAATAATAATGACATATTTAATAAATAAATACATAAAATAAATAATAACTAAATGAAATCAATAATACATAAATATTAATGTAGATCTGTTTATTTTTTTACCGCACCGTTGCATCACATTGCCCACCACATTTGCATTAAAATACGTTCCACTTTTTTTTTTACATACATTCCACATTGAAACAGAATGTGAACCAGATCAAGTGCTGGTGCACCCCATAGTTTTTGTTTTGCATGTAAAATTGAGCTGAACATGTTTGCTGAAACGCAGCTATATTGTAAGATTATAATATTAATTTTCCTAAATGCCACATGCAGATGCTATATGCAAATATAATTCACATAAGTAGGGAGGTCTAAGGAATGATTAAGTCATTAAAACGGTCTAGTATACCATATCCTTAAATATTTTAACGCTCAGCTAAAACTTCAAGCATGTATTTATTTATAAAGTGAATTAGTAGGTGGTGATTAAGAGATTAAGTCCTTGATATTTAATAGAATCTCAGTTAGAATCTAACTTATGCTTTTACCTAAATAAAATAATTGTTTAAATGTTAGTGTACTGACGAAGAATAAATTGGTAAAGAAAATATTTGTTTTTGGTTTAGTGAAAATTTTAAACTGGTAACGTCGTGGTACAAAGCTCTTTGGTGCTTTCAAAACCTAACAGTTTTCTCTTTGTTGCCAAACGTGTATATTTCCTGTACACTATGGGTCTCACAGTTTCTGCCAAATGAATGTTATTTTTTTTCTTATTGACATTTAGTAAAGCTTGTTTTAAGGGTTGCTTACGTTGCGAGTGCTCACGTAAATACATATTTTGTCTCTTTGAAAATTCAGGAAGTGGTTGGTAGAGTTTTTCATTTTTATCGATAGGGTGCTATTTTATTTCAATTTCTTTAGTTCGAATTTGATATTAGATTCTCTTGACTTTAGTTTGAGTAAACATATTTTGGTGATTTTCAATGCAGTTTAATTATTATATTTTTGTGTAAGGCCACAAAGAAATGGTGAACAATTTTTATAATTCGCATTCAAACAATAACAGTTTTTGATGTTAATAAAATTAATCATATTGTATAAATATTCTAAAATAATAAATTATCTCGAAAAGTGAGTGAGTTTACTAAAGCCAATTATGTAATAAAATTTATTATAAATCATTTGAGTTTCTGTACCCCTAAATAATGTGCAATAATTAAGTAATATTACACTAATATTAATAGAAGTGCAAGAAATATTTAATTTTTTGCCTTTTAATAAGTACACAAGCTTAATTTATTTACAATTTGCAAGATGTGTTAAAAGGAAAATTTTAAATTGTTTTTAATATCGTATCGTACCACAACCCTTAGCAATGTGCATGTTATATGTATGTGTGTATGTATATAACTCACATAGCATCAGCATACATTAGTGCAGCTAATTTTAACCAAAAATTATACGTACAAGAGAGACAATTATATTTTTTAAAGTATCTTTTATGGTGCGTTCTGCAACCCTCAGGACATAAAAAATAATAAAACATAGAATTATTTATAAACTTTTTCATTATGCGCAAGAAAAACTTCGTAAAATATAAAGTACTATTATAAAGCAATGTTATAACAAATACGCCGTAAGAAACAAGTAATATATATATATATGTTACTTTATTTAAATATGTATGTATTACATAAAAGTAATAATTATGTTTAAAAATATTTAGTAAATAAATAAATAAAAACAGTACAACACTTGGTTATTAATCCGAAAATAGTTACGTATATTGTGTAAAAATTAGGAGATATCGGACTCCTCCGATATATATAGTTCGTATATAATTTATACATTGTTTGGCATTGCTTAAAATAAATAGTAATAGTTATTGGAATAAGATACTAAGAAAACATATCCAAACGTTTTTATTTAATATTAACTAGTACTGATGTTGAAAGAGAATGTCAAAAGGATGGGCACTGATGATGTTTCTGTTTAAATTTATTGGTCGTGCGAGACTTCATCTGTTAAAAACGATTGAATCTAGTAAAATAATCATTAAATGACCATTTAATTAATAATTTGTTATAATCACTGAATATACAAGATGCATAAATAAAATCCTTGTTTAATTTGAAATAAAATTAATAATAAAAACAAATTTATTACTTTCGCAGTTAATGTATTTCTGATCACATCTAAAATGGATTAATTAATAATGATATAATTTATATGGTAAAACTGAGCAATAGTGCTATTGCTAAAATAATAACACAACAAAATTAAATAATTAATGAAACCACAGATCTGTTAAATGAATATTGTAATTTAACAAAGAAAAAACGTAATAACGTACCAGCTGAACAAAATATAATTCCAATTTCGCTTGTACCTCAGGACATGCCTGAAGACAATGATCTTTCACATAAGGTAATCACCGGAAGAAATCAAATGATTGAAACCACGGATAAAGGCAAAATGGTTATGGTACGAACCATACTTGAAGACATTAGTCAAACTGCTATACACTCTAATGCTTACCGTCATCAAACTAATAATCCGGAACATTTATTTACTTCAAATGATCACAATCAACACCATAATGACCATATTATGCATGAACATCCTTTACATGGCGCGGAAAGTCCAACTGTGGACTTCATTACTTCAGAAGTTACATTTGATACTTTATCAGCAGATTCTTCAAACATCTCAAATACCTTACATATTATTGACGTTAAACAGGAAAATAATAAGTATGTTGTAATAAATAATAACCACAACAGTGATTTGCATAGCTGCATAGAAGTCCCCTCAATAGGAATAATGAATAAAATGTCTTCAGATACCGTTGAAGTTACATTGAACCAACATCATCATATTCAACAACAACAAGATCAGCTACAATATAAACATCACTACATAAATCAACATCAATCGATTATTGCTCGTAACCATATTCAACAACAAAATTCGATTATAAATCAACGTCAGAGTCACAACTCTCGGTCTCTTCAACACTCATCATCTCACCAAGAACCTTTATCTGTTATTGTGCAACCACATGATGACTCTCATGATTCTTCAACTCAGATTTTGAGCCCAGAGTTGGGTGTAGTCGGTGTTGTGGGATGTGGTAGCTCACTCAGTGAGCCATCCACATATCAGACACTAACATCTGTGAATCAACGTTTGCAATCACCTGGATTTAGTCCAACATCATCTTATGCGACATTAACACCTTTACAACCTCTACCACCTATATCAACTATGTCTGAAAAGTTTGCTTATAGGGGTCACATTAATGGTAGCACAGTTATTAACGGTAATATTGGAAATGAAAGCAGCAGCAACTCTTCTTCTGGTGCTGTACCTTTTTCTGTGATGACACATCAAAATAGCCTTGTTGGGTTAAATTTAAGTAGCCTTAGTGGTGAACAATCACCTTATTCATCATCCTTTGATAAATTAACATCAATGGATATACCGATGTCGCCATCTCATAATTATGCAACATCGCCTACCAATACTTTATCAGGAATGGTGGTCTCGTGTGATTTGCCCCCTACTTCTCCTGTGGGATGCGAAGCACTTTCACCACAATCTGCATATAGTCCAGCAATAGAATTGCACTCTCCTACATCATCTAGATGTAAAACTAACACTTACAAAAATAAGAGTGTCCAATTACTGCAACAAGTTTCAGATAAACATATCGTGTGCTTGTCACCTGTAGAAGTATGCGATAGTAGTATATCGAATGAAAATATAGTAGTTACAGCATATCAATCTACGTACGACTCCCATCAGAGAGAAATAATGATAAGCACAACACCATCATCAAATACAGATACAAATCGACTAAGATCACATCAACTACTGCATAATAGTCCAACACTTAGTCCTCATGCAATATCTCTGAATTCGGCTTCATTGCAATCTCCCACTAATTGCAATATTATAAATAGACCTGTGTTAAAGTTGCAATCATTAAATAACGGTTCTACATCATCTTTAAATAATATTTGTGAAAATATTGTCGAAGTTAGTGCTTCACAACAGAATCCAACAATAGTTTCGATGAGTCCGTGTCCTTCTCCATCTAATGACAACATTACCGTAAAAAAAATGGCGTTAGATATGCATGGCATTGAGAATGACAAAATCTGTGCACAATCTCATGTTACAATAAATGATTTAAGTTGTGAAAATAATTCTAGCGAAAACCGAAGTCACCAACAAATAAAACTCAGTTCAAAACTAGACGAATGTAATATAAATACAAACGGTATGCAATCTCATAATACAAATATTGATTGTAATATTCAGAAATGTAATTTGGATGATCATAAAATAGATCAGTATCCACAAATAAATAACAACAATGGTACTATAAACGAAAGTTTAAATGGCAGTAATAACTGTAGTGAAATGGAAGAAATTAATACAAAAGAATTGGCGCAAAGAATTTCCGCAGAATTAAAGCGCTACAGCATACCTCAAGCAATATTTGCGCAGCGCGTACTTTGTCGTTCACAAGGTACACTTTCTGACCTATTACGAAATCCAAAGCCTTGGTCAAAACTCAAATCTGGAAGAGAAACGTTCCGTCGTATGTTTAAATGGCTGCAAGAACCCGAATTCCAGCGGATGTCGGCCTTGCGTATGGCAGCGGCTCAAATTCCTCAGAGAGGAAACCCAGGTACAATTAATTGTAAGGTATTCATCTCATATTGTCTGATTTTATATTAATGATGCAAATCTTTATCAGCTGGTCCGATAATTACTAACACCACAGTATGTCGTCGTAAAGATGAACCACATATTGAGCACATGTCACATCCAAAGAAACCCCGTTTAGTATTTACTGACTTACAACGGCGTACACTGCAAGCAATATTCAAGGTTAGTTAAATAAATTAATTTCTATAAATCTAAATCTATTCATTAATTTTTTACAATTATATATTATATACAATACAATCCGTATAGATAGTAAATGTTTTCTGCACATACTATCAACATTTTTCAAATCCGCGGAGTAGGTGATCAGTTGCAAATGACTTTACCTACTCCAAGTAAACGTACTGCGTTTGCGCACGGTTTTAGCGAATGTTCTTTTTATACGTAAGAGTGTAGACCCAACCAAAGATGGTTCAATGCTATCTTCTTCTATTATTTAGATTTCATTTTTTTTACAATCGCGTGTTTACAATTGCACTCAAAAATGAAATATGGAAACTTGGCCTGTAAACAATGTTCACTTTAGGCAGTTACAATCCCCAGTCTTAGTACTAGCTATACTGTAGTAGGAATTTAACATTCAAATGCATGTGTATGTTAGTTAAGAAGGCCAAGTCTTGCCATTACAGATACGGGTTTAGGAATGAAGTATCTGTCCATTTCTGTAGCAGTTGAAAAGGTGAGTTGACCATAAATGCACAAATCCTTTTTTACCCAATTCCCATATAGTTCTCTATATTGAAATATGTTTAAACTCATATTTTTTTATATATAGGACGCGTCATATATTTACAATTCAAAAACTTATCATTGCACAATAAACAAAGATATTGCATTAACTTCTTAAATATATTGGTATTTAATTAAAGGAATATCAGGAATAAAGGTTTAAGTTTTAAGTTTTCAGCATTCTGTTACTTCATAATATTCGTAATGATATTAATAGCAATTTGAGAGCTGAACAATATATCCGATATAAGATATTTAATTGAGTATTAACATATCGGATGGATATAATGCAGGGGTAAAAAAACATGCTATAAAAACTGTTCTGTATTATTACAGATGCTGTCGATTTTAATACAGCTTTTTAATAGTATGGTTGAAATTATGGTTTTATTCAATGTGAATGAAATGTTAAACTTTTAAAATAATTTGTCTATGCGATTTTATCTTTGAATTTTGTATTTTCTATGTATTATCTGTTCAGACAAATACTCGAACATCAAAATGCTAAAAGCTTCGAACAGCTCGAATTAAATTTAAAGCTTTAACCAGTACAATAGAACTCTATCCTTTTAAAGGAATTTGTGTGTATATTGTCTATAAACTCAAACTGTAATGCAGGATTAGATATAGAAGAACTTGCCGCAATAGAAGTTTCAATACTTCAAAACAAAAATCATGTAAACTGTGTAAAAGCCTTTTGTGTACCTATTAAATGAAAATATCCCTAACCATTATAAGTTGAAAGTTATAAACTCTAACTAAGTAACAATGGTAAAGCAGTTAGAACTGGAAGAGTTGGCAAATTTTAACCTGTACAGAAGATATCAAAAAGATTACAGTCGTTATTAACCTTGATGTATCAACTACGCTGAAAACCATACAATCTACAATTGTTATAGGAAAACAATATCTATCGGCATTAAAGGAATCATCTATATAATGCAAACTAAGCAGATCGAACAATGTAAGGCTTCTCCGCTTCACAGCGTTGCAAAATGTGCCCTCCCTAACAAGATCCTAATGTAAATATCGTAATCTTCTAGGGCAGCCATGCTGCTATTAAATCTCTGATAAGCACTAAAGCTTCACCTGACGAGTTAGCTAGGCCTATCAGTGTCCAATTCACGTGGGTATCTGAACACATGGGTATCTGTCTGTCGCGGGTATCAGACAAGGCAGACGAACTTGCGAAAACAGGTATTCTGCCTTCTAACATATCTCTCGAATATTGGTATTTTTCTTGCAACGGCTAAACTGACAATAAAGCAAAAATAGCTGAGTATAGGTAAAATATCTGGGCGGATAAAAATTCTTCTCCGATCTCAAGATTTACATGGTCTAAACTGGATAAGAAATGTATCAGTTAGCTACTTTCACTAAATCGGAATCTGCTCAGCTCTAATGCATTGATGACTATTGAAACATGTGTTTCCTTTTCTTAGAAAAAAAGTAATTCAGTGTTGTGGTTTAAATAGTGATTTAAATACTTTGCTATTATAACCAATTGGTTCTAATTATATTGCCGCAATTTATGAATCAGCAAAACCACTATTTGACGACAAATGTCACTCATAGACTTATTTGTTTAATATTGTTTTAAAGGGAATTTCAGCAATAAATTATAGTAAAGAATGAATATTGAGGACAAAGTTACCTTTAATCATTCTTCTTACTATATTCACCTGCAATTATAAGTAGGAAGCAATGCTAACAGAAGTATTCGTTTATAGTTACATATAGCCATTTTATCAATATTTTATTTTATATTTAATTAATGAATATTATAAAAAATATTTGAAAAACTTTAATAAAACTAATCTTTTATATGTATTTTCACATGTTAGGAAACTAAGAGACCTTCTAAAGAAATGCAAGTTACTATAGCTCGACAACTTGGACTGGAACCAACAACAGTAGGCAACTTTTTTATGAATGCACGTCGGAGATCTATGGATAAATGGCGAGATGATGATAGCAAACAAAATATGAACAATTCCAGTAATGGTAGTGGTAGTAAAGATCGATCTCACTCAACACTATCTTCTTGCAATCCACATTCATTAGGCATAGACGATGATATGGACTTGGGTGATTTTACTACAGATGACTGCTTCGACGATGATGATGAAATAGATGATGAAGAAAACAATGATTTATTGTGACATTTTACAAAGTATTCTATTAGAAAGGAAGAAAACACGAGTTTAGAAGAGAAACAAAATCAAAAAATAAACTCACTAAGAAATAGCATTTTCGTTGGCTTAAATGGCAAGCAGCTTTGCGTTACTCAAGAAGAATCCAATGAAGATTTAACCAATTTAAAAATCAGCAACAAAGAATACTTTATTGATCAAACTGGATCCACTTCAGAAACGAAGAACAATGCAAAAAGAAATTATTCACTTAAATCAGCAGATGCAAAAGGTCATAGCAATTTGAACATTAAAAACAATAATTTTGTTATTGATTGGAAGCACAACAAAACTAAAGACAGCATTGGAAACAACGATAACATTAACAGTGGAGTGATTAAAGAATTGAACATTTGCAATCCAAAATACATTAAAAACGATGTACCTGTTATAGCTTCGTTGTCAAATTTAATAACTGAAGATAGTGATATACTTTCTGAATATCCACGTCGAACGACTATTCAAAATGTAAATCAATTACTACTAAAAAATCAATCAAATAGCAGTAATAATATGTCAAATAAGTTGGTTGACGAAAAACTTAATTTAAGAGATGAGTGCAATACAATTAATATGGCGAATTGTGATACGATTTTAGCGGAATATGTGCTAAAAAATGAAAACTCTGGTGAAATATTAATTACGAGTTGCTGCAATAGAAACGTTGACCCAGACGATGCGCTGCAGTTGGCGTCGAAATCAACCGAATCAGATTTCTTGATTGATAAAAATGAAGTTAGTGACATTAACATATTAACAAAGTCCCCAATCATTCGAAACAAAACAGTAAATAATTTTGAACGTAAAGAAAGTGAACAGTTTATAGCTTTTCATGAAAATAACTACGATACCGATTCTAGAAACTGCAAAGCAAGTAACTTTACTAAGCAATACCGAATAGGTCTCTCTTTATCTCCGAAATCAACAGTTTTATCTTCTTCATTTGCTGGACACGAAACAATTGAAGATCAAAAATCAAACTTCAGTAACTCAAACTACACATATGTAACACAACAAGATACCATCTGTCATCCTTTTCAGAAAGAACATAAAGAAATTCAACCCAAAATTGAGCAAGTAAAGCACATCCAAGCTCAACTTGAATCATCAACGGAATATATTACCGATGAGTTTGACGATCTAAAAGTAATGGTTGTCTATTAAACTATGTTCGTTGATGTTGATTTAAACGCATGAACAGATCGAGTCTGTACAGTGATGTTATTTATTTTAGCTACGGAAGTTGTACAAAAATCAGCAATTCATGCTTTAGTTTTTTTTACTATGGAGTGTTAACATATCCAACAACTTTTTGCCTAAACATATAGCATACATTGACGTGAGTAATAAAAATACCCAGTATTATGTAGAAGAAATTATATAGCAAATACAATACATAATATGGTTTATAAGTTATACACTAGAAAGTAACATTTGCACTTACCTATTGCAAACACATGTATGTATATATAACATTGTATTTATTTAAATATTTACATATATGTATATAAGTTAATAGTTTACAAAACATTAAGGATCTTGTGATTTAGGGACACTGAACGACATTATTCACACAAGAACTCTAGGAAGTGCAATCAGGGAGTGCACTCAAATAACCAAAATAAAGTTTTCTCTCAATCTGACAGTAGATTGGCCTTTATGTGTAACTATTAAAAGATTTTTGATTTGCAACCAGCTTTCATCATTGAAGTCAAGCACCTATTCTTTTATTCGTTCCACGCGTTTTGGCATACTGCCACTTAAGTTGAAATATGTTAGATATAGTCGTAAGAAAGTAAGGGTCATATTCGTTAAAACTAGTTAATGATTATCTTCTTTAGGAGCTATGTGACAAGATTGTTTATACTCATCAATCTAATTTATTATTTAAATATTTATATTTACTATTTATTGTACAATATTCGATATGTAAATATATATTATTTTATACTTTTATATTTACTTATTTATTTATTTATAGAGACAATGTATTTAATTTAACCTATAGTCAAAAAAAAAAAATACGCTTTCTACTTTTTTTCTTACTAAACATTTGCGGCAAGACTGTCACCGTATTGTCTGCGTGTAATTTATATATGTATGTAGTTAGCCAAATAAATTTAGAAACAGTGCAATAAATGGAACGGAAGAAACTTTAAAAGTTTTTAAAATTATTTTTTTTTCCTCCTATTACTAGTCAACAGTTTTACTTTTAATTTTAAATGAAATCAAATTTTAAGACAAAACAGGAAAACTATATTAGTTGTCTTGTCTTTGCTGGAGCATTCGTATACATAACTATTTATATAGAACATAACTAGTTCACAAATATTTTAAAATTTTATTTTTAATGCAAAATACAAAAAATTTATATTTATACTAATTTGAGAGTTACCTTGTATGGGGTATTCACAAGAAACGACAAATCAATTCGATCAAATATTTACTATCCATCTAGACAAATATTTATACAGACGATCATCCCTAAGTTGAATCCTCTACTCATGCTAATCCAGAATATACATAGCTTATGTGGTCTACGACGTATCCTGTACAGCGTTCCGAACATCTAGACAACCCCAGTTTACCATTTAGTAGAAATAGTGTTAAAGAAAACAAATTACACAAACACAAATAAATTTGTAAAAAGTATAAATTGTGCGATTAAATTGCTCACTATTATTATGTTCATTATTACACATATATGGTATATGAATGTATATTTTAGTGATGTGAGTATAAGCCGTATTTTTTTCTTTCAAAGTGGTAAAAAAATACTCGCAACTTACGAAAGTAAACATGGAAAGCAACAGCAATGCTCTTAAAATTTTCAGAGTTAGGTTTGGCTCATAAAAAATTTTAAGTCTTAAGTTTCAGTGCAGCCAAATTCAAAAATCAGTCTATTGTGAATGTTCACTGGAAATATGTTGCAAAATTCCAGTCATCTATTGAAACCATATGAACATTTAATTTACTAATAAATTAGTTTATAAATAAATGAAATAATATTTTTTAAATAAATATATTAATTTAAATATTTAAGATGAAAATGCTTACCATTATCTTTCTAATATTGATCTTGTTTTTTTTATTTACATGAATTAATTTTTAATGTTCACAATTTTTATAGCTCATATTGTACACAACAAAAAACATGTCAAAAAAGCATTCAAAAAGCATATTTCAAAAGTGATGCCAATTCGTTTCAACCAGACTTATGCTGTTTTTTTACAACTCTGAAAGAAAAAATTACGACTATAGTTAAGTTAATTTTTAAATATATGTATATATATTATAGTATATTAAGTGAATTTTTTAACTTTAGAGTTTAAATAAACCATACGCAACACTCAGTGTTGAAAATTTGTATGATCATATTTTTATTATAATAAAAAATTTGTTTTCTTTATAATTCATAAGCAATTGTCGATTCACTTTAAATATAAATTGACTAAACTTTCTGATTTGAAGATATGAACTGTCTTCTGGAAGTTTCAAAACCAGTAAACTACATAACATTTTTTTGCAATCCTTTCTCTCAGTTTAAAAGGAACGGTTGTACTTTTTACGATAAGTTTCGAATGTGTGGTACGGCGATTGCCACAACACAAAGTGGAAAATCTTTGATTACTGGATTAGCATTATCATAAGTCTCATTGTTTTGAATCCGCGTACACTACTAGTCTTATCTAGTGGCGCGATCTATACTTATAACATGCTAGCTAAAATCGGAGGGGCATGGTAATGTTTCAATGAGGTTTACGTGAAGTAACCCACATCCGCGCATCGATGTTTTAAACATGTTTCCGCTAAACATGTTTTTTGTGTATAGTTATAGATAATTTGCTGGTATTGACAGGTAGAACAATATTTTTATTCGGTGTTTGGTTAGCTGCCTCAAACAAAAAACTTATATGAGCACAAGCTACTTTCAAACTTTCTAATCTTAACTAATCTTGAATATTTTACTTTCTTGTATATTTCTTCTGCACTCTTAACTATATTAAATATATACATTATTTATAACAGGATAAACAGTTTCTTTTATTTTACCTACCTTTACGGTATGAAATATTCGTCAAGCATTAACAAAACACGTGTCCTTGTGTGGCATGTTTTAAAACAAAAAATACTGGCAAAAATATAAATAATTTTTTATTTAAACTATAAAATAAACGAACATAATTCAATGTATAAATATTTTTGTTATGATTAGTTAAATGATCTTATATTCTCACGTGAGAAGGTTAAGATACAATTAAGTTATTACACCAAAGATCCATGTTATACAGGCAATTTTACGCTCTTTTTGGTCATGACCAAAACACATGTTATACCAAGAGTCATATCATAGTTGTCAATTTCATACTTTTGCTACTACTTTTTGTTTGTGCCTAAATATAACAAGTATTAGGATGTGCTTGCATGTGTACACAAAAATACATTTTTACTTGATTCTACAGAACATCTAAAAACAGTAATTTTACAGAAGTGACAGAATATATCACCAGGGCTTTGCCGAAAACTAGCGAATTTGTATTATTGCCATACTCAGTTTTCGCTTCTTCTGTGTTTCGTGACCTTGCAACGTAGTCTGCAAATGTTACCAAATGTATATCGTTCGGCATTTCCAGCTCTAAGATACCATCGTAGTTATCGTTTCTCAGCTCAGATCCCAGGACAGATCCTCGTGTTGCTCCTGATGTGCTCTGCTTTTTATTTGGTCTATCGCGAGTATTGGATTTGTGCAAATAGCTTGCGATTATATCCTTCACATTGCGCGGAATTTTAAATTTGTTTTTCAGCTTATGTCAGCCTATCTCACATTATTAAACGCCTTGCGTACGTTAAGCGTTGCAATTTTTCTCAAATAGTGGTTGCAAGTCTGTACAGCCGTTACTGTTTTAACAACGTCCTGTTTTAACAACACCTAACGTACACCGTTTTTTCCTGAATTTATGTTATGCTGTCTCGATGACAGACATCCCACGAGTTCAACTGCTGCAGTAAGTCGATGTTTACTATCTTTCAAGCAGCTTAGCAGTGGTGTCGAGCATGGAGAGAGGTTAGTATGCTTCAACACTTTCTGGGTCACATTTCACCTTACTGATTAGTGTCAATTTCTGCTTCTTCCTGATTTCACCTAACAATCATTGTACATTTCTAGTAGAACATGTAGACGTTCGTTAAAAGGTGTTTCATCTGGTCCTTTAGCTTTTTAGCGCGCTCTCAACTGCAGAGAGGTCTTGCAGTGTGAATAGCGATGGAATTTTTTCAAATGTTTCCTTCATTTTTGCACATTCTAGTTACGGAGTGGGTTGTCTGGCACCCTACCTTTTTGTTACAATCTTGTATCCAGTGCCCTAGGGATTGTTGTTTATATCTTCCCTCATTTTTTACCATTTGGCCTTTTTGCGTTGGTTTGTAACTGTTTTTTTGCCTAATTTGAATTCCAACTTCACTACTTCAGCAGTATTCCTTCTTAAGTTTAACATAGTTCCTCTAGGTTGATTGTTTGAAATTAGGCTGTTTTGTGTCGTAATCTTTGATTTTAATAAACTGGTGGTCGCTACCAGCATAATTTTCCAGTACTTTCCAGCTTCTGAGTGCCCCTGAAAACCTATCCTAGATTAGTGTTATATCTGGAGTAGTGCTTCCTATCTGGATCATCTGAATGTTGTAGCAGAAGTTGAATAAGCTACTGCAAGCCCCAATCTGTACGCCATATCAATTTTACTGCGCTTGTACCATGCTGGTATGACCGTCTAGAGATATGGTCATCTTTACGATGTTAAGTGGTATTGTGGAAGCTAACCTTCGCTAACCGTAGCTACCACTTGACAAAAATTTTGCTAAAAGTTTAAACCATTAAGAGAGCAAAAGTGACTAGTAAAAAAAATTATTGCACAGTGAGTTCATGTAATAGGATCGCTAATTGGAAAGAGACCGTTTCAATCAAAATATCGGCATATTGGGTGCTTTATTATGAGTAGCTTTTGGTAAAAGATGTAATAGTACCTGCAAGCCGGAACTATTTTTTGGTTTAATCGCTCATTGAGGGCTCAGTTTCTTATGTTCCACAAAAGATGATACAACTTGGAATTGCACTTACACTTCACAGTGTTCCAACAAATCCATCTGCATTATCATATTCGCCTTACACCATTTATATATTCAAACTCTAAAACTAATTGAAATCTTACTACTCCAATATCTATACGTAAGCACTACTAAATTTTATTCTTTTCTATTCCAATTAGTTCCACCAACTAAAAATACTGTGTATTAACAGGCATGAGTTAATATAAAATCATATTTTTTATTAAAATTGCCAATGAATCCACTTGTTCTCTGTTAAAGATGAATTAGTTGTCATAAACGTAGAGAAAATAAACACAATCACAGAAATAAGAATATGAATGCAAAATGAATCATTCATCACGACAAAGTGCAACAAATCAAAAACAACGCAGATACCAAATATAATATTTCATATCCAAAAAATGCAATGCAATTGCTCAATGTTTGTAACAACTGATATAACATTCTTCCTACGTTATGGAAAAGAATACCAAAACTTTCCCCTATTTCTATTTCTACTCGTTGATTTCCATGAGGTAGAAGTCAGCTGATTTTTTACAGCACAACTAATTCAGCTTTTAATATTACTTCACTCATTTGACAATGTAATTAAACCTTTTCGGGCAATCGTGAGAAACCTTTTAATTATATTTGAAAGCTTGACTTATTTAAATCATGTTGAGTTAAAACGGTGCATAGTCTTTCCATTTGTATGGTGTATATTTGACTGATAGCAAGGAGCAAGGAAATATTGCGATTTCCCTTGCAGCGCACTATTGCAGTGGGAACACACACAAACGTTCAAATACACTTGATTCATTAATTATAATGATAATTATAATGTTATTAATGTAACATTAGTAACATATTTATTTTAAATTATAAACTATTTTGGTTGTTTTAAAAAAAATTTTCTTAAATGAATTTATACAAAATTTGAATGAAAAACCTTTCATGATTTTCAATTCTCCAGTATTACAAAAGTATGCATTAAATAGCGATGCCAGTAAAATATTAAAAGATATGCCACAAATCATATAGATTTCTTATTGTATCAGTTCGAGACTTTTTTTGAATAGGGACAGAAGTGGATTAATTTTATAACTGAGTTGTATGGCTTTAACACAAAGAATGATTAAGGATTATAGCTTCACTGCAAAATAACAATAATATATCAATCTTAGGAATAGATCCATATTTCAGATGTGATCCCAATAAAAAGATAGGGTTGAAAAAAAAATTAGGGTAAAAACTTTATTTTTGTTTGTGCCTATTTATGTTTAAATATGTATTTTTATATAATTTTGTACATTCCAATTATAGCACACATGTACTAAAAATGATTTCGTTATTATATAATGATATTATAGTCATCAGATTTTGCAATTAAAAAAGCTAAACGAAAGAAAATTATTCGTTCTTATATAATATATTTATTTTCAGAAGCCTGCTTTACTGTGTTTGAAGACCTAACGAACCAGTTTAAGCGCATTTAGGATACCGCGCATTAGGACCCAACAGTCTTCTGCAACATCAGGTGTTATGACTTAAAATGCGAACTAAGACTGCTTTGATAACACGGAAATGTGTGCAGTTGAAACAATTTTTCTTCAGAATTTCATTTTTATAATGCAGGAATCCCTTTACACTATCATAATGAACTTGTTACAATAATAAGATCACTTTTCATACACAATTCATAGTAATTCCAATACTATGCTTACACGTTAGCATAGGTGGCGTCTAGTGTTAGCGCATTTGGTATAGATTTTGTATGGATCAAATCCATATTACCACATGTGTACAGTAAATTCAAATAGTGAAAACGTACAGTTCAGATATAGCTAAAAAGTTTTGTATCAAAACCGATAAATACGATATTTTACAGTGGTGTTTGATATTATTTCCTTTTTTAACAATCAAATTTCTAAGAAGAAATTTAATAACGAACATATGCGCATCTAAGCCAATCTCATTGAAATCCAAGTAGACACCAACCAAATGCAGAGAATCGTTCAAATGCAGATAATGAAATGTAATTACAAAACCAATAATTGTAAAAAGGTACTAATATGATTAACAACAATAATAATTAATAATAAAACTAAAAAAAAAATATGTTTTCGAAGCAGTTTTATCTCGACGACGCCTGCTGAAATTACTATAAAATAGTTTTGTCCTAGTGCGCGGGTATTTTAAATTTCTGTTGTATGATTATTTCAAGGAATATCTAGGAATATAGCTCGTACATGTACATGTTCCAGAAAATGGACCTTTTAAAAAAGAAACATTTCACTTATAAAATTTTTTTAAATTTATTAATCGACCTGTTTATTAAAATGGTTTTTTATACATTTTATAACCTGTCTGTAGGTCCCTTCTTGTTATTTAATTCAAGGTTTAACATTTTTTATTATACTCTATATTTGCAATATAGACGATAGAACGAAGACGATGACGTATATGTAGTTTTAATAATACTAACTTATAGTAGATCGTAATTTTGATAATGACTCTCAAGGAGAGTCGAAATATGGAGTATAATAAAAAATATTAAACGTTGAATTATTTAACAAGTAGGTCCCCTACAGCCAGATTAAAAAATATATAAAGAATCAATTTAAATATTTCAATAATTTATAGTGAATTATTTGCAAAAGTCTGTCACAGTCGTCACATTAATAAAATAAATTCAAGTGCTCCATTGAAACCTTTTATGAATTACTCAATATTGAAGCAAGTTAAATTTTTTAAATAGTATTTGAAATTCTTCTCTTAAAGTTTAAGATATTTTAATATAGAAGCAATTATATACATACATTTTATTGATTAGAATTTAAGCTATATATATATATATATGTATATATATATTTAAATTGTTAAATATATTAATTTAAATTACCAATTGTAATGTAAACACTTCATAAAAATTTGTAATTGTAACGGTAAATAAAATAAATTTGCATTAGTCAAAAGTTACAATAGTTTAACGTAAATTTTTTTTTATTTATTGGTCAAATATTTTTTGGCTTAGTTAATGCGATATGGTAGTGTTTTCTTCATACGAGTATAATAATCATTTTTCTTTTGCACTTTTGCATAGGACATTAGTTATATACATATGTATGCCTTGGATTATAATGTATAATGATATAGTGATAAGTAAACAAATTTGTATCTATGGCTTGAAGAATGTATATAAAAATCGAATTGGATATTTGTCAGACCTACATAAGGCAATTTTAAATTTGTATATAAAAATATATTAAATAGAGACAAGTGCTTACGAAAATTAATAAAAAACAAATATTTTCACATATATACATATATGAGTTTCAAAATTTGCTTTGATAATATGTACATAGAAATATATAAGTAGGTACCGATATATGTACAAAAGTAAATTAAGATGTATGTTTTTATTAAAGTTTTCAAATTTTATAACTACTCCAGCAATATGAAATTATAATGTAATTATGCAATGATTATTCATTAATAAATAAGAAGCACTGTTAACAGTGATTCCAAACTAGATATATGTTTTGATAGTTATACATGTAAAAACAAGATACACTTTAAAATATTAAGTTTATATACCATAGTATATATTTGAACAAAATGTATGGCATGACCAAAAAACAATCTGTTTAGCATATTGAAATAAAGATAATCAATTAAAAATTTTTCCTTTATATTTTTATTTGCAGCTAAATAGATGCGATTATAATTTAATTTTACAATGCTTAATTTTGGTTCCAAATTATATAAAAAATGAATAAAAATGATAATTTAAGATTTTGGAATTAAGAGAATGATCACTATTTTATTCCAATATATCACAAATTTCAATTTACAAAAATAATCAAATTTATTTAATTATACTACAGTATATGTTAATTATTAAACAATGTAAAGTTTAACACTTAAAGTTTATCTTTGCTTTTAAAAAAAATTAATTCGTCCAAATTGTTAATAACCATTAAAAGTTTTAAGTAATATATTTTTCTGACCAACGGAGAGAATAAAGGGTAATCAACTTTTATAAGACAACAGTATCCCTAGTAAACACTAAATGGTTTTCTTACGGTTTGAGATATATCACCCAAATCTCGATTTCTGATTTGGATAAAAATTTAGCCAAAAATTAAATGAATGATGATATAGTTGAATAGGAACGTATTCAATTATTTTAATAGAAGTATAGTAAATTTGCGAGTTCATAATTTAAGCGTTCTCGGTGGCTCGCAAATGTGGCAAAAATGTATGCAAAACAACAACACTATTTTCTCTATCTAAGCCAGTAATTGTTTACTGGCCAAACACTTCGACCAGTAAAGAAAAAATTGTTACCAACAAAATAAGCGAACTATTGTGAATCTTGATTGAAAATTCCAACGAATATTGCAATCATATGTCAAAAACCAATATAGGCCTTGTGTGAGTTTGAGTAAATTGATGGTAAATTGAAGGAAATAGTAAATTATGTCGTTATGGCAGCGAATATTGATAAGTACCAAAATTTCAAGTAGGGTAAATTAGATAAAAATTAGGTAAATTAGGTGTTACCATTGTGAACATTTTATAAGATGTTTAATATATAAATAAATAAATTTGAAAACTTTTAACCAAAAATAATAAACAAGTACAATAAATATATAAATAAATATTTACATAAGTGCAGTGGAAAAAACCCTTGAAAATTTCAATTTACTTTACCTCAATTTACTCAAACTCGCACACAGCCGTAAACAAAAATTCAAACAGAGTTTAAAAATTTCATTGAAAATTGGGAAAAAAGCCAAAAATTGGAAAATATATAAAAATATTCAAAAATAATGGAGAAGTCGTAAGTAAAATGAAATTTTTTAATAAGTTAGTTATTAACAAGTAACATTTATCTTATTTTATTTTTATAAAAATATGTACTTTGCTTGATTTATGAACACATGTCCAAGGTTTGCTGTTTGTGAAAACAAAACATTTGACAGATTGCAACAGTGATGCCAATGTCTCGCTTAGCTAATATAGGCCAGCGTGCGTTTTTTGCCACACTTGCGAGTCACAGAAAAAACCTTTTATTGCGCCAAAAGCTATAGTAATATAACAGCCCTTTTAATATTCAGTAAACAAATTCCAACATCATGGCGACAGTACCTAGGTACACTCTAATATTGTTTCAATTTCAATTTGGAATTATAAAACTTTTGGCGTAGTTAAATCAATTCTTTAGGGTAAAACCTAAATCTACTTTTTCAGCAGTCAAAAAGACAATTAAACCAATATGGGTTGATTTAAATTTTTATTAAAAACTTGTGTATTTTTAAAAACAAACTATTATTTATTCTTATTTTTAGTTTCATTATATTATATTATTATTACAAGTTTATTACAAAGTTTATTATACTACAAAATATTAACCTGATTAATTTTTAATAATATTGTGTTATTATAACACTATAAGATATTATTTATTTTGCCTTTCAATGTTTTTTATTTAATTTTTTATATACCTTATGATCAAAAAAGAACGAGAATTAAAAAAAAAACACAAAATATTAATTTTTAATAATTTTCTTTATTATCGCCTTCAAAGTACTCTCCTCCTGCGGCAATACATGCATGCCAACGCTTGATCCAATTTTCCATACAAGTTTTATAAGCCGCCGAAGGTATGGCCTTTAGTTCACGCAGCGAATTCTCTTTTATGGCCTCTATGGTCTCAAAACGCGTCTATGGTCCTCGCAATGGCAATTTGAGTCGTGGGAAGAAGAAAAAGTTAATCGGGGCCATATCTGGAGAGTACGGTGCTTGGTTGATGATATTGGTTGAGTTTTTGGCCAAAAACTGCGACACTACCAACGCTGTGTGAGATATCGTGCCGATGCGTTATCGTGGTGTAAAATCCATAAGTTTTCCTTCCATAAATCTGGCATCTTTTTGCGAATTCATATGATGCGTTCAATGAATGTGGGGTCATTATCTGCGTTGAAAATCATCTCTTTGGCCATAGCAAACGACGCTTTTTTTGAATGAAATTTAGCTAAAAATCGCCCCACTAAAATTTTTCGACTTCTTTGTATAGACGCTACACACGAACTAATCGTATATGCCTTAAACTTTGACAGAATGTGTATAACAGTGTTGCCAGCGTGAAAATAAAAAAAAATTTACTGGTAAGCGCGAGAATTCAAAAATTAAAATTCTCGTTCTTTTTTGATCACAAGGTACTTGCGAGCCACCCACAACGCCTATAGAAAAATTTCTGGTAGATATTCCTTGGATGAAAGTTTATTTTAAATGACGTTTAGATAAGTCTTGATGATAGTACACACCTATAATGATTAGAAGAAGTATGAAAAGGCGTAACGATCGTAATATGAGAGTGAATCTGGAAAAGTTAGAGTTTTTGATAGACAAAATTGAATATTGAAGTTTCATTATTGATAAGCAAGGCATACAAAATGTAAAAAATAAGATAAATGCGATAGTAGATATGAAAACACTGTCCAATGCTAATAAAGTACGTTCAGTATATGGTTTGAAAAAATTTTATGATAAATTTATAAAAAATTTGATTAATATTATGTACCTACTGAACCAGCTACTAATGTTGAGCTTTTCCGAGTTAGTGCATCTGGGCATTTTTACTCTTTGATAACTGGGGGATTTCTGCAGAGTCTCACCCATCTCACTGATTAATTTGTGCATTCCTCATAAGCATCGTGATTATCCAATGGCTGATCTAACATCTGTGTACCGCCCTGTGCGTTTAGTGATTACTCTGAGATTAGATAGTGCTAAGTAGAGCAGCGTGTAGGTTTTCGCATATAGCTTCAAGACTCTGTTTTTTATGTATTTTTTGACCGGATCTATTCTAAAATCTCTTAGCATGTCATTCGTGCGGATGTACCATGGCACTTTGAAGAGTCTTCGCAGAGCCTGACTTTGAGTAACTTGTAGCTTCTGGTAGCTTCTTTGAACAACTTGTAGCTTTGCTATACGTGACACACCCATAAAGTAGTGCTGGTCTATTTATAACCAGCTACTAAAAAATAACGTAAAGTTCGTATGGGACTTTACATTTAAATATGATATGATTCGAGACAAGCCCCAGTATGACAGTAGATGCAAGTCCAATTGGTGTTGCAACGCTATTAAGCCATTAATTAAAGGACGGATCAGAACAATTAAGAATCAACAGAATCAATAGAAAATTTACACATATATATATAATCAAATAATCAAAAAATCAAAGTTTATTTCGGACGCGGATAAGAAAAAGGAGAAGAAGAAATTTTATTACAATGTAAGTAGTAAGCAAGTAAATATATATAGGTATTTGTCGAAGGTTTGATTTTGATCACAGTAATAAAATCAAATGGCAAAAAAGCACAAATTAGAGAAACTGAAATGAGTTGAACTCTAGGATATCAAATCCGATTAAACATGATAGGGAAAAAAGTTAAAGGGTCTATGGGGTTTAGGACAAACTGGCGGATCGCTCCCATTTCTTGCATAAGGTTGTATTATGATGTACGTAATAAATATGTATACATGGTCTGATAAGAATAAAAAGTTTTTTGAACGATAATGAACGATTTAGAGGGGTAGATATTGCAAAGGGCTGAATATAATTAAAAAATTAGAACATATGTGTAAGTATTTAATCTGTCTATATTTTAACTTTGATGGTTTTTGAGGTAACTAAGAAAATATGAAAACCAAATTTTTGCTCTAAATTTGGAGAGATTCCGGTAGGCCGGTTGGGTTCAAATTGGATTTAAAAGAAAAACCATCTCAAAAAGAGAGATATTTCATTTCAATACCTCTACTGGTTTAGAAAATACATAATTTTGATCGGCTAATTTCTGTTTTGACACACTGCGTGGCGTATGGTATTCCGTCCACTGCAACATCTACCTTCTTACAAAATATTTGGTTCTTAATTTATTTGCAATTTTATGAAATTTTGGCGAAGTTGAGATTTCGCAAAGATTGGGCGAACTTTCAACCCTTTTAACTTCTTTACTACTTATTGAAAAATGATAATTTTTGTTTTTTTTTTTGTAAAGTTTATGATATTGTTGTTGTGTTTAAAAATATGTATAATTCTAATTAACAATAAAATTTTATATGTGAAAATGTACAAAAAGTCGGCGTCTTAATATGGCCTTTTTCACTTCTATCTGCCAAACCCAAAAAACGTATCAGGTACAGCTACCAAAATATTACCTTCAATAAACCTCATATATTATGTATCAACAAAAACTCCAATAAGTAATAATGTAATGACATTTATTATTTTATAAATATTTAATTCGTTTATATATCAAATTTCAAGCAAATCGGTTGAAATCGGTTACAATCTGGCAAAAGCACAAAGGCTCTTCGGCACAGATAATCTGAAAAATTTGAAATCAGGTAAACAGGTAACAATTGAAATATTTATGGAAACAATCGTGTTCATTATTAAAAAAAAAGAAAAGAAATTATTTAAGATGTTCTAATTCAATTTTTTCTAACCAACATAAAGAAGGAATTTATACATTTTCTTTTTTTTGAAAACAGGAAAATATTAAAATATATAATATACTAGACCGAAAGCTATATTGAATTTGAATGTGCATGGGTTTTATGAAAAATATATTACAAATCGCTTTTTTATCAAGTGAGTTAGCCTTCCTGATCACATTCTATTTAAAATGTATTAAACCTAATTATGTATATAATGGGGGTGAGAAAGAAGTTCTTAATTCTTCTTACTTACTTTGCTGAACAATCGAAACTAAGTAAAAAATAAAAAACAAGGCTCTCGGTTAGTGAAAGATGTTTACTTATTTTTACGAACCTGTGAATTTTTTAAAATAATAAATAGCTTGAATAAAAGTGTCTTCGCCCTAGACTTTTTTTTTTAAATTAAACATTAGTAAACTTTTAAGAAATAGTATAAATAATTCAAACAATACGAAGAAAGTGTTGAAGCCAAAACTCGCAAACGCGATCATCAACATCAACTGATGAACAACAAATCAAGGAAATCAAAGATTTGGTGCTCAAATATCATCTATTCACAATTTTCTCGTTTGATGTCAAATGAAAGTTTCTTACCAAAAACAGCGTCACGTTAAGGTTTGTCAAAAAAGTTTTAGGGCTCTCAGTATATGATTGCATGATTATAATTGAAAATACGACTTAAATCTTTACATAAGATCCGGTAACAGACGACCAATAAAGCGAATACCGTACAAAAAATTAGCCACCAAAGAAAAGATATTACCAAAGTTGTTAATAGCTCAAAGACATTTTAACAGTTTTATTCGATTATCATGATGTGATGTATAATGATATTATTCCGCTGGCCAAACCGATAACAATAAAGATTGTTTGATCGTTATTTAACATTAACGTAAAGCAAGTTGCTAGAAGAGGTAGTTGCAAACCATCATAACGCAACATTTCACAAAAAACTCAATATATCGTTTCACAACCATCGTACTTTTCTAATTTGGCACTGTGTGACTTCTGGCTATACCTTAAGCTCAAATGACCGCTTCGGGGACACCTATCGACGGGGGAAATAAAAACATGCTCCGAAGGGTATTCCCAAAATCGAATTCAATAACTATTTTTAGGATTAGATAAAGCAACATGTATTAAATCAGAAGGTGAGTACTTTGAAGACAAAGAAATAAATTTATAAGGATATTTTATATTTTACATTTTGATGACAGTGTTACAAATACTTCCATTGTTAAACTTAAACATGAGAATGTGTATCTTAGAAACATAATTATATGTTAACTGGTAGCAATTGTGAAGGGATTTTACTTGAGTTTTTTGCCTTCTGGATGTGGGTATTCATTTGTTGTATCTTCCATATTTTGCTCACATATGCAATCAATCTTAAGAATAAGGCAAAAATGCAGACGAGTCTGCCTTTATTTGTTTCATTTTGTGGAAAATATTAGTTTACATACCCAAACTACTTAATTTAAGTTAACACTCTTTTTATTTAAAGCCCCTATAACCTTATGCTCTTTAGTCTGGTAATCCTTAAGCAGAATATGTTGAAATAACTTACGTTAGCCAGAGTGCATTACAATAACGTAACAGTAAATATGTATTATTATTAAAAAATTTGGAAAGTAATCATACAATAAACAGAAGTATGCTCTGCATATTATTTGATAAATTAAAAATTTAGAAAACCTGCTCATTTGCAAGAAAAGTTTCATTTTACGAAGATAATAGCTAAAATAACATTTCGGCAGTTGCCATGGCTACAATTTACACCACACATTTTAAATTCATTGGCCATCCTCCTTAATTAACAGATCTGATCCCAAACGACTATTTTTCCTATTTGTAGTGGGCAACATCCGCAATAAACAAATATTTCGAAAATCAGTGTCGAGTTACTGAGATAAGAGATAATGTTAAAATATCAAATATTAAGATTAAAAAAAAAATGTAATTTTATTAAATTTTATACACCCTTCGTATATTTACTATTTCTTACCATTCATTTTACTAAATTGTCGATTGAGAAATATTTTTTGAATTGAAGAGATAAAATGGTCACTACTTATATATTAAATTTATATCTTATATGAAAGAAAGAAAAAAATTAGAAAATAAAATAAAGTTACAAATTTAATATTTTAATTTTATGTTTTCCTTAAACTAATAAGATAAGTTATTGAAGGAGTTGAAATATACAACAATTGCTTTTGTGTGTACAGAAAAAGGGCGAAATTTAAGAATCTTCTTGTCTTCGAACAATTATTGTAGGCCGCTGTAAATCTATATATAACAAAAGTGCTAATGCAAGAACGCATGTGCAATAGATTTAAGTAAACTATACGAATACTATTTTTAATTTTTTTAAATTGATGAGTGTACCATATAACCATAAAATATTTGATTCAAGTTTATTCGGTGGTATTCCAAGCATTCAGGTAAATGCATTTCGCGAAAATTACGTTGCACAAAAAATTTACTAAAATTTGACATTTTAAATTCTTTACGCATAGTTTAAGAAAATTTTATCTCCTGATAGATATATAAAAAAATATATTAACTTTGGTAACATAAATAAGTAATATTCAACGTGCCTGTTTAAAGAACAATAATACACTTTGCTAATATAAAGCTTTCTGCATGATTAAAATAATTAGTGTTTATGTAGATACCAATTGCTCAATGAAAGAATTTTCTTTGTATTTTAGGATATAATTATGTATTCCCAAAATGTAAGCGAAAATATTTGTATTACCTGAAAAATTAATCACATAATATATACTTCAGAAAACTGATAACATATTAAATGAAATTAAAATTACGGACGAACAGCACATGGAGAATACGTCTTTTACTGCCAGAACAACAACCAAAACAACATCTAAAATAACAACAAAAACATCAATTAAAAAGAAGGATGCCAAACACTCTTTTGTTAAGTTATCGGATGGTGGAAACTTGGGAACTAGTATTACCAATGAGAATGAATTACCTAATTCTATAAAAAAGAAAGAAAACATGTTTGTAACTTTAAAAGAAACAGAGGAAAATTTTTTCTCAGAACATGAGGCTATGACTAACACAAAAAGCTTTGAAAGAAATGATTCTGTAAGTTTTTTCTGCCTTAATATATATTACAGTAAAAAATTTATATAAAAAAATAATTGTTTATCGGAGGAAATGGACGGAATTCAATTGGACTCAATCGAAAAGGACGATGTTGTAACTTTAAACAAAAAACCAAAATTAAAAAAAAACAAGAAAACTAGTTTGGATAAACAGAACATTTCAATGGTAAGATAGAAATTATTTTATTATAGCTACATTCATTATATTATAGACATACTAATATAAATAAAATTTATCATAAACATATAATCAGTAGCAGCTGTAATCTATTTGGCTGACTGGTCAAAATTGGCACAAAGAATTATTTCCCTTTACAACGTGATTCTATAATTATTAAATGTAATTTCTTCATTATTTTAAGTTCATAGTAGTAGATATACTTTTATTTCGATTGGTAACAGATTTAGTGAATTTTATTAAGAAGGATAGTTACTTAATTATAACCTACAGTTGGGGAAGGTATCCTTTTTCAGCAGAACAGAGTTGAGGTTGCTAGTGGGATATTTAACGGGTCATCATGGACTGCGTTATCACCTTAACAAAATTGGTTTATCATAAGAGATAGATAGTCGAACCAGACAAGACTTCCAATCACATTCTCTGTGACTGCTTTGATCTGGACCAGGAGGAGGTCACTGCATCAAGTACTACTCTCCCCTTCTGACATTAGAAGGTCCTCAACGGCCGAGATTCTTCGGAACGGTTAGGGTCTGTTGCAGCACAAAAGATCAGCAATGGTCGCAGTGCTCCATGGCTGGTACCCTCTTTATTCCTATTCCTACTCAATTATAATATACATTGTTAAACCGATTTTAGTTATGTTTTAAGTATATAATTTATTATTGTTCAGTGTCCTTTCTATTGAAATGAATTATAATTACTTGATGTTGAAGTCTATTCGTTTTTTATTGAAAGTAAATAAACTCATAAAATCCTTCTTTAAGTTTTAGATACACTTTTTTGTCCCTTGAATTTGCTTATCGCTGACGTATCAAATTCTTTACAAAATTAATAAATCTCTATCACATATACAAATCTCTTAATCTTATTGCTATAATTCTGCAAATATTTTGCATTTTTAATAATTTTTTTCTTGTTTTATATTTGAATGCGAATCAAATAATGATAAATAATAATGATAAAAGTAGAAACACATTAGTGCGCGGTAATGTTTACCTTTTCCTTAACCGTTTACGCAAGAATGCTAAAACCAAAATTCCGACTTCCGGTTTTCAATAAGTTACTCTCTGCGCATGTCGTTACTAGCTACTATTATTTCCTTTGTTGTATTTAAAATAAGAAATAAAAAGAGATACATTAGCCGAAATTTTTTTTTAGAATAGCAAAATAATATTCGCAACTTACGAAAGAAAACATGTAAAGCTCTTAAAATCTTCAGAATTAGGTTTTACTCGAAAAACTTTTTGCGTCTTAACTTTCAGTGCAGCCAAATTCAAAAATCAATCTATTGTGACTGTTCACTGGAAATATTTGCAAACATCCACTTGTCCTTTAAAATCATATGAGGACATACATAAATAAATTTAAATATGTAAGATATAAATGCTAACTATTGCCCTTCTAATATTCATTTTGTTTTCTTTTATTTAAATGAATTCAACACAACAAGAGACATATGCCCAAAAAAAACATTTAATATTTTTAAAAAGTGATGCCAATTTTTTTTAATCAGACTTTATATTGTCTGGAAGAAAAAATTATGGCTATTATTATATTCTTACAAAAAACATATTTAATATATAAACATAACTTAATTTAAAATAAATAATTAATTAATTGATTTTTTTGAATAAAGTATTCCACGGTTTTTGTTTTGTTTCTATGGAAAACATACATGGCTTTATGTGCAAAATATGCAAATATGCATAATTGTATGATTAATATTACTTAATATTAAATTGTGTTACCAAAATTAATAATAATAAAATATTTTTAATTTTATCAGAATATTAGAACATCACATTACTTTAAAACATTACATATTTATTTCATGTATTAAAAGTAGAAATTTTTAATTATAATTTATGATTATTAACATTATTTTTATTTTTTTTGAATTTTTACACAATTCTATTAACGTTTTTATTTATTTTTATATATTATAATACCTTCTATTTTTAAAGAAATAACTATAAAATAAAAATTTGAATAATTTCTCGCCATAGATTTCTTTCAAAATTTTAAAGGAATTTATTAGTTCTTCAGAAGGCTTTGAGTTGCCACCTTCACTTAAGTGTTGAGTCAACTGTTATACTGCCTGCATCACAATTTGTGTCACTGCGATCGTAATAACATGTGTTGAATAATTTAACTCAAAGGGTGGAAACAAAAGATATCTTTTAGTTGCTGAAATAAATTCAAATTTGATGATCACTCAAATTCACCTTTTATCTAAGTCAGGTAACTGTTATACTAATTAATTCGAAACAAAAACCCGGTTTTAATGATTCCAATGTAAAACTTGAAGACTTGACTTTGTATATAATTATAAATGTGGAATGATTAGATATTTTATTGGCTACGTTGCTCAAAACATGGTGCTACAATTCGAATATTTATTATTGATCGAATTTATTTATCGAATCCTTACAGCTCTAAGTAAGCTTTATATTCAATATAAAAATTATGAATCGTAGTCAGGTTTTGGAAGTTTTAACGCACGTTAAAGTAGTTTTTTTAAAGTGCACTAGACTCATGTTGAAGTATTTGAACAGTGTTAAATACTATATGTCGAATGATGTCAAAATAAAAGCACCTTCAACCTAACATGCTAAAATACATGGGTGGCTTACAGAATCCCATTTAAATCATCCAAATCAGTTTCAGAACTTTCTTATAACTAGACTCTTTCGCAAGCATTGTTATTGGTGTGTTGTGAAAAAGAAATCAAGTATCGCGCATTAAATATGTACATATATGTTAGAAATAAAGTTTGTAAAAATGGTTTCATCTATAGTCTGTGCAGTATATATACTAACTTTCTGCCTCACTTCCTTTATCTTAAGTGAATGCTTTCTTCACATACACAGACCATATTTTTACAAGTAGGGTGACCAGATGTACTCTGCTGTCAATTATTTATAAGGTGACCATAAGTCAACGGGGTGGCTCGTTTCTAACATATACATATATACATATTTAAATATACTTCTGTTCGTTATATTATAATAGTTATATTTTAAAAATAATAATTTCTTCTTTAAATTGTATTTATGCTTTAATTCAGTTCTTATACTGGTACGATAATTATGATGAATTATATTATACTAAATTCTACTATAATATATTATATTATAAGTCAATATGATATGAATTAAGTTTTGATTTGTTTCAGAATTTCTATTATTTATGGATTCAGGCACTTTAAGCATTGGCGCATACATATGTATAATGTCATATTTGATGCTTAAATTTACGTTTACTATTTGAATAGTATTACTATATTCTCCAAATGTGCAAAAACGAAAAATCTTGTTTATTTCTAAAAACAGTTAATTAAATTCAAACTCCTATGTTTACGATCAAATCAGATTTTATAAGATATTCTCTGGCTTAAACGTTCCATAAAATATGTTAAAAAACCAACTATCTTTTATAACAAATTGTAATTGATGTAATTGTTGATCTTGTTGATAATAATAATTGATGAACAATTAAGCATAATATAAATAGAGTTCCACCTTATTTAACATGTTGTTTCAACGATTTTGATAGTTAACTATTTAGATCAGAATGTGTAAAATAAGCAACTAAAGTTTTTGAAATTTCAATTAATAAATGCAGTACATTGAATTCGTCTTTCTTTAAAAGATCTACCATAATAAGGTTTAAGTTATGGCATAAGCATGATAGCCATTTATTATTTTAAAATGCTACTTTTACATTGGATCTATTATCTGCTACTATAACACTTGACTGAATACAGTCGTTCAACTTCAATTCACTAAATATATATCATATACCACTTGTAATATATTATCACCGATTTTGGGTTCTTAGTGTATGAAAACTTCGCTGTGTATATTGTTCTGTCCACTTATCGGTGGTAAAAAGAATTTGTTGTCCCTGCAGCATCTTTCTTAGTTTTAAGATTAATTAGTCGATTAAGTTTTTCTTGACACAAATAACTCTTCAATTACTTAACTCTCATACTTTGCTCCAATAAAAAATATTGCGCCAATTTTTTAAAACTATCACCTAACAAGAATCATGTGGTATTAATAAATGATTACATATTCTTAACAGAAAACTTACCTTCCATAATCTTAAAAAGCTTCAAATCGGTTGTGCAAAACAAAAGTTATGAACAAGATCGTCCTTAACGTTAATTGGAACATCTTTTTTAATAAAATTTTTCATTATATTTTGCAATCTTCCACCTTCTAATTTTGAAATTTTAGCGCAATGGTGGCGGAGAAAGCCACCAGTTTCTGCACGGGGTGAGTACGTCACAATATTATTACACTTAATGTTTCAACAAGATGAAAATTTTACTTTTGCAAAAGACTCAGACGGTATTAGTTGAATACTGCTATCGCAGCAGCTCATTTATATAGCATCTCTCTAAACCATATAATGGCGTTCTTAACTGCTATTCGTCTGTGCAAGTGAAGTGGGTATGTCGCAATACTCCTCAAAGGATGCAGTGACGTGATGACACGTTCCTAACCCATCTTAAAATCTAATCTAATCTATCATATAAGTCCTCATATGTATCTTCTAAATCACAATTTTTAGAAAGCCTTTTAAAATATTACCTATTTTGATATTAAATCAACGTTCTTACCACAGTCGTACTTCAATATCTGTTTACGCTAAATTATTGGAACAATTCATTTAATTTAGACAAATAATATAAAATGTTATAAACTTTATAAACCTTATATAAAACCTATTCAACAAAATAAAAGATTATTCCAATTAAATAATTAGGGAAAGTTCACTCTTCATCTATTATTATGTTAGTTATCAGGAACCTGCTACTTTCAATTGTTCGGTAATATGGCGTTTACATTGGCCGAAAATGGCTCATTTTGGTCAAAAATCGAAAATGAGTATCGAATGTCTCATTCTTGTATATAAAATTTCAAGCGCAAAAATGAGCAATTTTCTCACATTCTGTATGAAAGACGTTCGAATGCATTCCACATATGTTCCAAGTGCAAAGGAATCCATTGAACATACCTTAAATAAAAGCTTTTCATAGCATTTTGACAGTTTGAGAAAGCTGTTTTTGACATATTTACAAAAAAAGGTAAACAAATGTTTGGTGATTGCATTTTCTTGAAAACGATGCACCTGTTTTTAGAACTTCTACTTCCTAAAAGGTAATTAATGGAAGTTAAAAATATGTTTTAAGTTTATATTGTAAGGTTTGAAAGCATATTTAACCTTCATGCAATATTTTTTTGGCACAGGGCAAAAATCAAATCAACAAGCAAGTTCCAAAATCAGCTGTTTAAAATGAAAACAAACGAATTACAACGAATGTAAACATTTTCAAATGGGTCATTCAAAATGAGCCATTTTCGGCCAATGTAAACGACATATAAGACTGCAACACAATCTACATATGTGTCCACACATTCGCTGTTGACTATATACGAATAGATCAACACCCTATAGGCACTGTTTTTATTATAAATTGTAGTAAATGCAATCCAGAATATTGCTTGGAAATAAAAATAAAAGTGAATAGGAATACTCAAAAATGTAATAAAAGCGGGTTTTTTGAATGAAGGTTTCTTTATACCCTAGATACAGGGTTGAATATGTTTATTGTGTCTATCAATTGTTTTTCGTATTTATGCTGCATACGTCGACATAACTAACATTAAAATATTTACATAGCCATAGGGCCTCATAAAAGTTGTACATATTTTTTAAATCTTTAACGCTTACCAGAAAAAAATAATTTTGTTTATCTCTTATTACGTGAATAAGAGAACCTTTTAACAATGAAGATATTCAGTGTTAGTCGCACCTGTGTTCAATCTATTTGGCTCTCTCTCTTATACAGGATGTGAGAGTAAAAAAGAAACAGTAAAATCGATATTTTTTCGATATTCTTGACTATCTGAATGCCAATTCACTGTGTGAAATACTATAATTATTAACAATTAATATCACAATTTAGTTAGACATTTGTGATAAAAATAAAAATCATAAAAATTATATTATTAAGGGCATTCAGATGAGATCGGTTAAACTTCTGTATAAAAAAAAAATCAGCTGATTTTTATTATTGTATCGGATTATTGTATGTTTGAAAACATAAATAAAGATATAAAATAAATAAAAAATGAAGTAAAAGAAGAAATTTTGCTTTAATTTCTAATATTATTATAGTTACTTTCTTTTGTTTGTATTAAAAACAAAGTGATGAAAATAAAGCTCAGCTGTTTTGATCGTTCAGTTTTACAACGATCATTATCACTTTACCATCTACCGATCTACATCTGAATACCACTGTATTATTAATGTTCATAAATAAATTTTGATTTTAAAAATTTATTTTTCTATTTTCAGAAATCTAGCTTTACAAAATTTGATGCTCTCCAGAAACGGAATCTTACTAATGTACGTTTAACAATGCTGCTAAAGCTCATAATATTTTTACTGTAAATATTCATAATGTATAAAGTACATTGTTATATAATATTGGAGAAGGTATGGTAATATTATTAAAAACAGCTGCATTCTGCTGCTCCGATGTGAGACAAAAAACAGTTCTCTTGCTGCAAAAAGTCATAATTTTAATACTAAGAGTATAAAAATAAAATATAAATTCATACGAAAGTTTTTCTCGAACGTCACTTATGGACATTCATATTCGCCACAGATATGATTCATATGTGTTTTCGTTAACGAGTGCTGATGCTAATGAATCAGCGTCAAAAGAGTAGCGTACATAGCAGTAAACTCATAAGTCATAGCAAATACTCGAGTGTATACATCAATGAATGTACTCATCGAAAATGAATGACTGCTGATTCAATCAGTTTTGGCATTCACAAAATTTTTGTTTTTTTTTGCAATAGGTGGAAAGCATTAAATGCCAGCGCGTGACACTTGAACCCACTAAAACCATCTCTCAGGGATGCGTAGAGAATAGATTCTGAGCAGGGGACCGTGCAAGTCCGAAGCTGGGAATCTCATTCCAGAATACAGGGGAAAAATTGGAGTATATGATCAAAAGGATTAACATTTATAAATTAAATATATCTAAGCCATAAAGAAAAATTTTTTAAATTTTAAATGAAGTTAAAACAACTAGGATAAATTAATCATTTAAGGGTAAACTATATAAGGGGTTACTATAATCATGATTATACAACGGCATTATAGAGAAGGAGTGGGCAATGTGTTCCAAATGGGGAGCTAGGAACTGGGGAGTGTCGGTTTTTAGGTTCAAATGTCGAAAAGATGCATTTTTAATGATGTGATCAACGTGAGGAAAAAAGTAATGTTTAGGGGAGAATACTTTTCCTAGATATTTAGATTTGTCAATAAGTTTGACAAACGACTCATCAAGTTCAAGCTTTATATTACAAGCCTTGTATCTCCTGAGACATTGCTAAAACTGCCCGTTAAGGCAACAGTTGAAACTTTCAGTGGATTCAGTTTTAGTTTCCATGTATGTTTGGAAATGGATAAGGACTTTAAGTATTTGTTGAGGGAATTACTGACCATTCGGGGATAAGCGAACCTGCAGTAAACTAGACAATCATGACCGAAACAAGTTTGATTGACACTGAAGGAAGGAACGGGAATGTCTGAGATAAAAATATTAAAAAGTAGAGGACCTAGAGCAGAAGCTTGGAACCGACCCGGATCATAAAACTTCTACCAGACAAGAATTGGTAGGCAATGCTCCAGAGAGAAGGAGGGAAATTGAGCAGGTGAAGCTTAAAGATACGACTCTCGATCCACACTGTATCAAAGCCCTTTTCTATATCTAGGCTCACAGCTACGGTAGGTTGAGAGTTGGAAAAATCTACGCAGATATCGCTTTGGAATTTGTTAAGCGCATTCCCGTTGAGGTATTGTTTCGAAAACCGAATTCGAAAATTGGAAGAACTCGACAATGAGTAATGAAGTACTTAAGTTTGGTCACAATGAAGGATTCATATAGTTTATTTAAAGAATTTAAAAGAAAGGTCTGTAGCTTGAGGGAAGTGATTTAGATTCACCGTTTTTATGGACGGAGACAACTATTGCCTTCTTCCAGGACTTAGGAAAATGACCGATGTTATAGACATTATTGTTGCACATTTGCAAAGAAAAAGCAGATACTTTGCGAAAAGGGTTGTTAGAAATTTCCATCCCATTAATGTCAAGTGTGTTGGCACAGTTTGGCAGGTTAACGCTCGCAGAAGTCAGTTATACTTTGTCCGAAGTTGTCGTATAAATCATGAACGAAGTTGCAGGTCATAGCATTGAAATTGGGATTATCATCACCTAAGAAGGCTCTATGCAAAAATTTTGTGTCAGCGCTATTGTTGGCTAAGTAAAAATATTGTGTGTCTTTTAATTGTTTTTGCGTTTGTGGTATGATTTTAGTATAATTTGTTGCTGTAGCATTGTAAACGCATATATTTTGTTTGTCTTCTTTAATATTTCATGTTTATAGAAAAGTGGCATAAGTACTTTTATTTCTATGTATGAGTCAGGTGGAGGTAGGTGTAGAAAACAAAATAGAGTGAATGTAAATGAATACAGCTAATGACAAGAGTGTTAAGTTCTCATTGCAGTTCTCTGATGTAATTTGTCAATTATGATTCAACAATTAACATATCTATATAGGTTCTCAATGTTTTAAAACAGCTAAATTATTTATATAAAAAAGGTGAATGAACAGCGAAGCGAAAGCAATTATCAGAATTTAGAAAATTTGAAAATAAATCAGTGAAATATGTGCATTTAGGTCAGCGGTGTCGTATGTGCACTGCATTCCTAACATTGCTTTTAGTTCATTATTCATTTTAATTTTCAATTTTATATTAATTTTTTTTGTATACAAAATGTAGTTTACTTGCATCATGTGCACATATTCAAGATATGACTTTGCGAAAACATACATAACATTGAACAGATTGCAACAGTGATGTCACATAGCGACTTTAGCAAGCGACTTGTTGTTTTTTATCAGACTTCGGAGCAAACTAAGCATTCTTTTATAATATTTAATAATTAACAATCGCTGTATTTATGGGTAAAAAAAGTATTAAAGTTTAACATACTTGCTGTGCCAATAATTATGTTCGTCACTATGTATTAAAGAATGATCTTAAAACAGAAATATATGATACAAAAGGTTTTATCACTCATTTCAATATTGAATTAACTGTTGTATATAAGCTGTTGTTTATCTAATTTATTAAAAAAAAACCATTTTTTCTTTTTTAAAAAACCTCACAAATAGAATTTGGACAATGAAAATGAATCCACCTGTCACATTTGCCAAAAGCCAGTATATAAAATGGAGGAAATCAAAGCGGAAAAATTTAAATATCATAAAACTTGTTTTAGATGTACTGAATGTAACAAACAATTGAAGTACGTATTAATGGTTTTACATTACATATAACCAAAATATAGTAAATTGTTTCATGAATAGAGTGGATAACTATCAAAGTCACGAAGGGGCGCCATTTTGCATAGTGCATTTTAAGCAACTTTTTTCTCCGAAATGCGTTGAAGATAATGAACCTACTCAAGCACAAAAACCGGAATTAATTATTAGAGAGAATCAACCTGAACAATTACCCTCAGATGTAGTAAAAGGTACAAATGTGTTATCATCAGTAAATTAATAGGCACTGATTGACTTGTATAAGAGAAGTTTCTTATAATTGTAATTGCTAGATTTTAAACGAATTTGTTTATGTACTTATAGCATCTATAAAGTCAGATCTTGGTTTGGAAGAGTTACAGCAATTAAATCTTCGAGCTAAATTTCAAGTATTTGAAAACAATAATCAGCAACAAAAACTCACAGATAATAAAAAAGAACAGAATAACGTAGTCAAGAGCAGTCGATCAATTTCCGAAAGAAAGGCCCAACTGCAAGAAAATAACTTAGCTGTAAGCGAAGGATATGTTACCGAGAGCTATAAGGACTCTGGTTCTGATCACAATAGCGATGATGACGATTTTACTGACTTAAAGGACGGATATTCTCATGAACAACTTAGTTGTAATGGAAAAGCTCTGTCAGCATTGAAGAAGAATTTTGAAAGCGGTTCTAAATTGTCTAAAGAAGAACGTAGGGAAGAAAGAAAACAAGAAATACAAAACATAAGATCGCGTTTGTTTATGGGTAAACAAGCCCGAATCAAGGAAATGTATCAACAAGCAGTAGCAGAGTCAGAAAAAGGTAGAAATGCATATTATTTTAAATTCTGCATCTTGTATTAAACTATTGGTCTTCCAGCTATATTATCAATCAATAAAAAGCCAGATCTTGATATAGGTGGTAATGCTCATATTTTAAAGGAGCTTTTTGAAAAAGGTGAACTTCTTAATGGCACTGACTTAGAGGATGATGAAGATGGCAAAACAGTGCGCCTAAATACGTTGCAAAGTGAAGCAGATGTTTTTGAATCAGGTACATCAACTACAAATTGAAGCAAACATATTGTATAAATTATAGGCGTTAGTTTTGTAAACATATTGCAAAAATCAGTTTTTTCAAAGAGAACATACCTAACAACAACACTGCTGTCCTACTTAGCTTAAATTCTTTGAAACCTCTTAACCGATTAGCACCTCATGACGCATGTCCAAAACGGTGATCTAGTCTACTGTAATAATTTTTAGAAATACATATGTCCGTACTTATATTATATACTTGTAAAATTGAACACACCATAATTATGCAAATCTTTGTATTTAAGATGCATCAAAATAGAGCATTTAATAGCAATTTAAATGTTGCCCTCTAAAGTAGTGCTTATTTTATGGAGTCTTCTTCTAAGATGCTTATAGAAGATTAGGTCTTATATAACATCTATATTATGGGATGCAAGAATGATTCCGGCTGTAGTTCTTATCACTATATAGATGTTCAAAGTAAGCATAGGCTTTGTTTACATTATTAAATGTTCAGTTCAGTTAACGATAAATATTTTTGCTTTTTTGAACTAACTTAAAATAATAATTCAATATTGAATTTGTTACTCGACCTGGACAAGTTAATAATGTTTTTTTACATATTTTATTTCCGGGGACTTCTTTTTTAATTTAAATGTTTGTTTAATATTTTCAAAAATTCTATACTTCGACTCTTCTTAAGAGTCATAATCAGGATAAGAAATCTGAAAAGATAATTACAACAATTTTTCTATTATTTTATTAACTAGTTACTTGATTTTTATACTAATTAATTTACATATAAATATTATATAAGAAATATACATCGTAAGTACATATATACATACTATATATATAAAAGTATATTTTTTTTAAATTTTAAAAAATATATATATATTGTAGCATTTACCAATCGAATAATGAATAATCGATTCTTCATGTTTTTGGTTCTGTTGTCCATATTGCACTGATTTTCACCGATCACCTTTCTATATAGATGTGCTACATTCTCCATGTCTGTCTTGTAATTTATCCTCGTATGTTGTGACAATTGCCCAATATGTAGCATCTTTAGTGTCATTCTTTTTCTAAAAATCTTAAGTTTTTTATTTTTAACTTAGATACAGTATGCAATTTTATTAGTAAATTGATATTTTCCCGATGGTATTATTTTTAAAAGCAATATAAATTGAATTTAATTTTAGTTAAATAAAATTTCAATAAATAAATCATAGATATATTTTGTCATCTGAAGAAGCACTTCTTTTGCTTTCGTTCCTATTCCAATAATATTCGTATACTCTGCTGGCTGCAAGGTTCTTTTATAGGCCGTGTTCTCTGCAACAGTAGTCTGGCGACATTCCTCATCGCACCCTTCGTTTCTTGAAGAGGGACTTTGGAAACCAAGAACACCACTATCTAACTCATAGGGAGTGAGAGATATATCTCCACTGTCTGTCTGCCTTATATGGATGGATGGGGTTGGGTATTTATTTGATTACAGAGTTCAGCTGCTGTCATGAACGCAGCTTAGTGACGTCAAGAATTTCTGTGTGGGCCGAGTCGATATTTGGATTAAATATTCGAATATTTTACCCATGCAGTGAACGTGCCTTATATCTTTATTTATTGATTCAATGTTGTGAATTCAATGTATTCACAACTTGCATAATTTCCTATACCTGTGAGTTTGAAAGTACAGGCTAATAATTTATTAAATTTAATTGTAATAAATGATAATCAGCATATAACATTTTTTATGGGCAAATTTTGAGTTTTTAAGCTGAAAATTTGATGAGACTCTGAAAAAACGATCGGTACGATTTTAAAAACATATATGGCCCATATTTTACCTAATATGACCCTGTACAATACTTATCCATAATGTGAAGATATGACTGAAAACTTGAAAATAGATCTTTTCTGGTCATATCACTTTCTAATTTGGTGACTTTTATTAATATTATATTACATTTAAAAGCAATATAAAATGGTTTCTATATAATTTGGCATAAAACAAATTTGGAATAAGTATAACACTTTTTTTATAATTATGTATAGCTATAAGCAAAAAATCTCGCGACATGTTTATGGAACTTGCTGCAAATGTTGAAAACACAAAACGGATGCCTGATAATATACAGTCAAACTCAAATGATTTAAAACGTTCATTGAGTAAAGTCGATAAAAACACTAAAGAAGTATGTATAATATAAGACAAGAATACCATATTTGTGTAAACCATATGATTTTAGGATTCAACTTCAATTATAAAATGTGATGAAAAATTGGAAGAAGTTAAAATTAAAACATCTGACCTTAGTGAAAAATTTAAATTTTTTGAAACATATCAACCAGAAGTCCTCGAGAAGAAAATGTTTCGAATAACGCCTCCAAGGGAAGATTTAAAATCTTCCTCGCAGGATTCATGCAATAAGGAAAATATAAATGAATTAGATTCAAATCCAAATGAAATATCGCGTACTACTAGCATGATGATAAATAGATTCCGAGAAATGGAAAAAACCAAAACGAAGGACACTCCTTACTGCCCAAAACCTTTAAAATGCTTTACACCGCCACGAGATTGTGAAATGAATACGACTCAAAATCCAGAATATGAAGACGATAGTGACGATGACGAAATAAACGAACAGGATGACAATTATGAAGAACATCCCCATTTTAGACATATGGAGGATGAAGACTTGAAAAAGGTAATATTAATATTTCAAAAAGTTCTTGTGTTATAAATTAGTTTCATGTGATGTAGAAATTTTTTCACAACAGTTATATTTTAGCTTAAAACTTGAAATTAATCAAAACTACGAAATTTTACTCATGATAAATAGTTTACAAGAATTTTAAAAAGTTAAGTTGACATTATCTTTCATAATTGCCATGTTTAACAAAACCACATTTAAATTTAAATAATTTCTTTAATTAATGATACGAATAATGATTACTAAAAATTAGGTCATTATGCAAGTTCAACAATATTTAAAATTTTTAATAATCAATGTATAATTTTTTAAGGCTCAAGTCGCAGCTCGCGCCAAACTGCTGCGTGAAAAGTTTGAAAAGTGGGATGCAAATGAAATACAGCGAGAACTTAATGACGAACTTGTTGATATATATTCAGAAAAAGTATCCGACGATTCAACCATCGAATCCACAAAAACGTAGGTCTTTTCATTTTAGATTTTTGCTTAATATTTACAATATTTTTCTTGTACGTAGAATTCGAGATCGTTTTGAAAATATGAATAACAATGAGAATCAACCGTCCTTAAAGCAGAGATATCAAGTTAACCGATTTGTTGTAAGTTCACGTTTGAGAAATCATTCCAGTTTAATAACAAAACATATTGAATTTTGCAGTAAATCATGTTAAATGCCAAAGGTTATTGATCCGGAGATTTGTAAGAACCGTACTATAATTGGCACATGCAGAACACAAACCAGATAGCTTGGACGAACAAAATGCTACCATGAATGATGGAATCAACTTTCCTTGTAGACAATTTTGCACAAACTTTTCAGTATCATATTAGGCATCTTTACTTATATATATATAAACGTCATAATTAATATATTGTAAATATTACATTTACATTATTATATTCTTTTTATATATTGATATTTCAAAAAGATATAAAAATATTTGTTTTTACTAATTTGTAATATCTGCAAGCATTATTACGCATAAAATTTATGTATAAGAAAAATATACGAATGTTTACCATTAAAATTTGACGTCTTTTATTTTTAAGTTAATTTTGATTTTCCGTACAACAATTACCGTAATTAATATAAGATATCTAGGGTATTTGTGTATTTTTAAATATTACATTAAATATAAGGAATCAATTTATACCACTTTGTAAAACAAAAACACGTTCCAGACTGTCAAAGAATAGTCTACTCGAAATTACTTTTAGTGGCAAACCGCTCAACGCTTTAAGATTACTTATCTGAACAGCTTTAGTTATGTACCCAGTTTTAATTTATTAAATGGCCTTTTATTTAATTGCCTTTAATATTTAGGTTGAAGTTTTTTTCTGTTGAATAAGATGGTTTCGAATGGCTTTTCTGTTGTTCTCAATTCCAATTTTGGAATGGAAACAAGTTGAGTCTTCAACAACTCTCCTCGGAACTACAACTAGCCAGAACTGCGCAGCTGATACAAACCGCTCTAAGTAAACGGGAGTCAACCGGGATGATTATATTTTACATAGCCAAAGCCTTTGACATGGTCTGGCAGGATGGCCTAATAGTCAAATTGGCCCGTTTTGAGATCCCTAGTGGTTTGACTAAAATCATTAGTAGCTTCCTGCAAGAAAGGTCCTTCCGTACTAAAATTAACAGCACTCTTTCGTCAGTCCGATCAATAGTAGCAGGTGTACCTCAACGGTCGCCTTTGTCTCCCAGATTGTTTAATGTATATACAGCAGACATCCCCACTTTAAGTTCCACGTCAATGGCGCTTTACCCAGACGATACGTGCTTGATCTACTCGGATCGGGATGCCATAAATGTAAGCAACACTTTACAGGGAAATATAGACCTTATGGTGGAATACTTCCAAAAATGGAAGATTAAAATTAATAATGACAAAACCAAGGCTATATTTATAACTCGAAAAAGAAGACAGCATCCTCCAAGAATGAGCGTTTGTGACACGGAGATTCGGTGAGAGGATAACATAAAATATCTGGGGGTCACTTTTGACAAACGGTTCAATTGGCTTAAACATTTGAAATCCAAACGGAATAGCTGCTCTAAGATTCTACATTTATTAAAGCCGCTATTTAATAATTATCACTTCAACTTTAAAAACAGAAAGTTACTTTATACCCAAGTAATTAGACCATCACTATTATACGGATGTGTTACATATAGCAAAGCCTCAAATACTACCATAAAGCAATTACAGATAGCATAAAACCTGGCTTTAAGAAGACTGAATCTTCATCAGTATACAAATTTTAATCTTCTGAAAGCTTAAATTTCTTTCTTTTGGGGTTAAAGCGCATAAACAGTGTGATACTTAAACCCACTAAAACACCTCTTAGGAATGAATGGAGAAGATTTCCATAGCATTGAGGAAACTTCATTCCAGTAATCAAGGGTGAGATGTGAACATATTGGTTTAACACCTAGCGAACTAGAATCATCTAAGGCAAATTTAAATTAGGAAGAAAGGACGATGTTAAAGGGGGTGGGGTTAAAACCAATAAACGCGAGTGAGACTAGCGACGAACTTTTTAACTAGAGTCAGGAAAATTGCGGTTATAAAGGAGAATGGTGTGAAGATTACGGCCGTACTCATAGTAGTAGTGCGACAAGTATTAGGGGGTTTGTAGCGCAAGGCTTGAATGAAGTCTTCAGGGAAGATATTGGGGATGGTGACGTCAAGGGGGAGGTTGTGGTGCCGGGTGAGGTACCTTCGGGCGAGTTCAAAACGTACTCGTCAACACGAGTGATCTTAGCATTGTCATAAAGAACAGAGATGGGGAAGTGCTTGCCGTCACGAGGATGAGATTCACCGCAGCGAACACAACGGTAGGGTAGGTACACACCTTGGCTGTGTTCTGTCAGCTTTCTGCTCACAGAGCAGAGAGTTGATGTCGTAAAAGATATCCCTACTCTTAGTAAAGATACGAGTGGTCGTACTTAAACTTATAAGCGGTATTAGGAAAGGCGAATTTTATGAAGAAGCCAAGCTCCTTGACAGTGACGCTACGGGTAGTATTGGCTGGAGGCGTCGGAGATTTAATGGCCGAAGCCGCGGGAACAGTAGAAGGAGTGGGGAGATTGGGTCCTACAAAAACCTTGGGCGCTGAAAAGGGCTTGGAGCAGGTAAATGGAAACGAATAAGGAAAAATAAAGATAAATAAGAAAAGTGTAGAAAAATGGATAGAAACTGGATGAGATAAAGATATATATATATATATATATATATATGTATTAATGTTTATTTAATAGTATTTATTTAATCCAAAAAATCAAAGTGTATATACGTTAATTAATTAATAAGTAATAATAAGTAACTTCTTAAACGCGCACAACCGACTGACAACTTCAACGATTTATTACCAACTACTGCTTGTTCTTAAAGCTTCTTCTTGTTTCTTTTTGCCTGCCTACATACATATATATATATATATATATATGAATATAAATATAAATATATTAAATAAATTTAATAGAAACTAGTATATTTCAGTACTGAACGATCATCCGGGCTAACTGCCTCTTTCAGTGATGCCACGAAGTCGACAGGTCTGAGTGGTGATGGTACCAAATGGTATGTGCGGTATCTCAAAGAGGACTTAACGCACCAAGAGGCAAAGGCAAAAACCTCAGACCGCCCAAAGAATAACTCAGAACCGAGGAAAGACTCGCAGCTGAGATAAGTTCAACTGAATGTAATACTGCCAAGAGAAGCAGGGGTAACACTACGGCACAACCCAAAATTGTGCCGAGTGCAGCAAAAACTACTGTACTCTCCTTTGTGTCTAGGAGGATAGTAGTCAGCTATGCACACATTGTCAAGGGTATAACATTAGCAATTCTACCTACTCAATACCCGGAATCCATATAGCTACGTTAACCGCTGAATGCGACAGGTTTAAAATGGAAGTAATTGGCATTAGCGAAGCCAGATGGAATGGTACAGGTGAATTTACAAACCAAAAGGGAGGTGTACTTATTTACTCGTATGCCCGTATGCCCGATGAACAGGACCCTCACATCCGAGGCATTGCAGTTTACGTAAGAAAAAATGTTACGCACTCAATCTTATGCTGGAAAGCTATATCCGAAAGAATAATAGTAGTACGCTTTCGCGCAAAGAAGTTCAACATGTCTCTAGTATAATGCTATGCTTCAACAGAAGACAGTCCACTTGACCAAAAAGAAGTTTCCTACAGTGCGCTAGAAAAAACGCTCTTAAATTCCTAGAACCGATGTAATTATTCTTATGGGCGATTTCAATGCGGAAATAACTCAGAGTATCAAACTGTAAGGGGTTCCCATGGCATTGAAACATGTAACGAGATTGGGGAGCTGTTTTTGGAACTTTGTATAAATTATGATCTGAGGATTAGAGGATCAATATTTCCTCATAAAACGTGTCACAATATCACTTGGAAGTCTCCCGCTGGCAACTTCGAAAGTCAAATTGATCATATCTGCATTTTAAAACGATGGAGTAAAGTTCTATGTGATGTCAGAAACAAAAGAAGCAGTGACAGTGACCCCTATTAAATGGTGACTGAACTGAAATTTAATATACCTAAACATAGGTATAAACGCTCGCAGCAAACACGGCGCAAAGCCACAAAGCTTAATGTTGGAACGGTAAAGAACGAAATGATCGTTCTTATTAACAACGTCAGTGTGATGGAAGATGCTTCTATTGAGGAGACGTGGTTTCATATTAAAACAAATCTCGAAGGAATCTGCAAGGACACACTCGGCTACCGTAAAAACGACCAAAAGGAATGGTTGTCATGCTCATGGGAGCTTATTGCACAAAGAAGGTGCGTTAAAACGAAAATGTTAAGCGAGGCGTACCCGCTTAAAAAAGTCGAATACAACACACCGTACAGAAGTCTTAGTAGGCAGATTAAGAAAGCAGTCAAAAGCGATAAGAGGAATTATAATGTGAAACTAAGCATGAAAGCGCAAGTAGCATCAGAAAAGGGCGACATCAAGGATCTGTTTAAGCTAACTAAGCAACTAGGTAAAAAATCTTTGAATTGAAAACGAAAATGGACAGCTAGCGTTTGCTACGAACGAACAGGCAGAAGAATGGAAAAGACATTTTGAAAAATACCTGAATATCATACACAACGAAAGTGACGAGATCACAATACGAAGACATCTAATCCTAATAGACAAATAGATACAAGGGCACCTAGCGAAAACGAAATAAGACGTGTAATTATTAGCTTGAAAAGTGTTAAAGCACCAGATAATGATTGTATACCGATTGAGTGTTTGAAGGTGGACCCCAACGCTGTGTCGAAACTTTTGCTCCCCTTGTTTAAGAAAATTTCGAAGCAAGAGTCATTTTCTCTCGAATGGAAGGAGTCTACCATCGTCAAACTGCCGAAAAAAGGTGACCGAAAGAAATGCAGCAACTGGAGTGGAATTTCTTTAATACCAGCAGTTTTCCAAATTTTCAACAAAATAAGTTTAGAAAGAACCGCGGTAACATTAGATGAGCTTATTCGTAAAACTTAAGCAGGTTTCCGCCCAGGGCACTCGTGCATCGGCCAAATTAACACCATTAGAATACTTATTGAACAAGCCTCGGATTGATTTTATTGATTTTGAAAAGGCGTTCGACGCGCTTAAGAGAAGTTACATATAGCTAGCATTAAACGCTAAAGGTAGATTATTAGCAACAGAAACAAACAAATTTTTTTAACAACTACGTTTTACTGCCAGAAACAGAGACGAATGGAAGAAGTTTATAAATATTATTTGTGAATAGACTAAGTTCTAATTTTTAAATTTTAATTTTTATAATAAAGAACATGTCTTAATAATAATACTAATTGAGAACAACGGCTCGAAGGCTATTCAACCGATCCAAGCGCACTGACTACTGGACCGAGTATAGAAGCACTCTCACTCTCTATAATAAGGAAATTAGGAGAGTAAAAAGAGAAAGCTTCAGGAAGTTCTGTAACAGCATAGAACACAGTACGGAAGCAGCAAGACTCTGCAAAGTATTGGCTAGAGAGAAAACACTCTCCTGAACCAATTTGAAAAAAAAATGAAAATACGTACACGGTAGGTGACGAGGGAAGGATCCAATTACTTCTCGAAACTCACTTCCCAGAATCCTTCAGCATGGAGGAACAAGAAACTGAGAACACCAATCAGGAAATTTGTCGAGCAACAGATAACCATTCAAAGCACCTGGCATAGATGGTATACTTTCGGCACTTATTCAATAGAGAATAAAATACCTGCTAACCCCACTGACGAAGATAACAAGGGCTAGCATTGCGTTTGGGTATATACAAAACGACAGGAAAAAGGTAAAGGTGGTTTTCATACCAAAAACAGGTAAGAAGAATCCACTCCATTCAAACATTCAGACCCATTTGCCTCACACCCTTCATGCTAAAAACAATAGAAAAAGTTGTGGATAACTTCATCAGAACGACAGCACTTGTAACTACCCCATTACATCCATGCCGAAATGTTTACGAGGCGAAGAGATCCACTGAAACGGCATTGTTTGAGTTGACAAACATGATAGGGGACAGTATAGAAGAGAAGGAAACAGTAATATCCGCTTTCTAGATACATAAGGTGCCTTTGACAACACGCACTAGTATAGAAGATAGATATACGCACTAATACGGGTATTTTATTGTTATCGGCAGGCCAATATGTTGGCTGCCAAGAAGATATTATGTCTATCGCATTTTTCCTATTTAAATTGGAAATGTAAAGCTGTTTTCCATCCACATTTTCTCGGGTCATGAAATTTGTAAGTTAAAGTTTATGTTGGCTTAAGCCGTTTGCATTCCATGTACAAATTTTTAAAGTACTCATTATTTAGACAAAAATATTTGCATTAATTGGCTTTGCATTTTAATTATCTCGTTAAGAGTAGTTTGCATGATTTACATGAACTGAGTTAAGCTCTGGGTGAGAGTGGTGATCATCATCTTCAAACTATTATTTTGAACTGGAGGGGCTTGTTGATTGTCAGATTTAACTACATTAGAATATAAAACAAGTTAAAGATTTGGACACTTCAACTAATTTAATGGGGTAGCTTTTTGTACGATTACGCAACGCTTCTTTCTGCAGAGCTAACCTGTGCTTCAGTTCTTTATAAATAGGACAGCCTCTGTAGTTTGCGGTGTGATTTCCACTGCAGTTGCTAGATTTTATGGAATTGGAATCCTTTAATGCCTTTTTATCACATTCGGAGTTACGGTGAAGCTCGCCACATGCTATGCACACTGAGCGAAGAGTGCAATAAGACTTAGTGTGGCCATACTCTTGGCTGTTTGTGCATTGCACTGGACCATTTCGCTTGCATTTGTGATTTCAATAGGTTCTACATCTGACTCAATACTTTTGATAACGACAACAAGGCCTTTGCTACTTTGGTAAGCAGTAATAATATATTTTCAAACGCTATATTTAACGCTAGCAGCTGAAATATAAAAGAAGGATGGTCTAAAAAATTTATACAGGAATTATTCAAACTACAACTACTACAACACTTCATGATGACATCTTTAATAATTAATATTATTATATATTTCATAAATTTTATTTTATCATATTAATCATATTATTCTTAAAATTTTATTATTATAACTATTTATGTAATAGCTTCTCTAAATTATGGCCCCCGGCAGAATGTTCAATCATGAACATGAATTATTTTATTATATTATTATATTATATTATTATAGTTTATTATTATATCGTCTAAATTCTGTTATCGCTTAAATTCCTAGAATTATAAAACTAAAAAACAAGGGTAAAAAATACAATATTATTATTATACATTAGCAAACATTGTAATATGGCGTTTACATTGGCCGAAAATGGCTCATTTTGAATGAGCCATTTGAAAGTGTTTACATTCGTTCTAATTCATTTGTTCTCATTTCAACAGCTGATTTTTCAACTTGCATGTTGATTTGATTTTTGGCCTGTGCCAAAAAAATGTTGCATGAAGGTTAAATATGCCTTCAAACCTTACATTAGAAACTTAAAACATATTTTTAATTACTTTTTGGGAAGTAAAAGTTCTAAAAAGCAGTGCATCGTTTTCAAGAAAATGCAACCACCAAACATTTGTTTACCTTTTTTTGTAAATATGTTAAGAACAGCTTTTTCAAACTGTCAAAATGCCATGAAGAGCTTTCATTTAGGGTATGTTCAATGGATTCCTTTGCATTTGGAACGTATGTGGAATGCATTCGAACGTCATTCATACAGAATGTGAGAAAATTGCTCATTTTTGCGCTTGAAATTTTATATGCAAGAATGAGCCATTCGATACTCATTTTCGATTTTTGACCAAAATGAGCCATTTTCGGCCAATGTAAACGCCGTATAACATTTAATTATCCGTATCTAATTATTATAATAAATTTGTAAAGTATGTGACGGTTGCATATTCACATTAATGTTTAAAATGATATAAGTTGGCCATGCAAACTCGGACAAGTAAATTATTGAAAATAAGATGAGTTGGCCATAAAAGAAAATTTTTAAAAACTAATAATATTTTTATTGAGTAAAAATAAGGTTGTCATTCTTTTTACGGTTTGGGAAAACTAAGAATAAAACAACAGACACGTGTAATTTCAACACACAAAATTTAGTAATTATTTATTGCTTTAATAAATAAATAAAGAATTAAATTAAGTAGGATAAGCCTACAATTGGTGACCCCGACGTGATCAAAAATGTCGCAAGTCGAAGCAAGCAATAATAGTAAACTGAATAGAAATAACATTCTTGCAGATAGTAATGTATCAAATGATTACTGAAACGAACAACCTCGAGGTGACATTTGTCGTATCGGAATCAAAGCACCAGCATTCTGTAAGAGAGATCCAGACCTCTACTTCATCCAGATGGAATCCCAATTCAGAAACGCAGAAATCACAACTGACCAAACCAAATATGATCATGTAGTCGGCAGTCTTGACAGCGCTACTTTAAGATATATCGCGGACATTGTTCGTGCTCCCCCTGTTGTAGAAAAATACGAAGCAGTTAAGAAGCCATTAATTCAAGACTTTGCAGACTCCGAAAATCGAAAACTGCGGCGACTAGTTCAGAAGTGCCAGTTAGATAATAGTAAGCCAACACATTTGTTGCGCACCATGCGAGATTTAGCCAGCGGCGCCATGAATGATGGAGCAATTAAACAATTGTGGCTGGATCGTTTGCCAGAAGCAGTGCGAGCAGTCGTTTCAATTTCGGAGGCTGACTTGGACAAATGTGCGCAACAGGCAGATCTGATGTTGGAAATGGGAAACTACAATTCTGTAGCTGTTATCAACACATCTGCACAGAATAATGATCACATCATGAAAGCCATAGACGCCTTGAGTAAGCAGATTGCGGAGATAAAAACTGCACAAAGACGAAGCAGAACAAGATCTCAAACTCCAGATCGCAAGCGACGTCATTCAACCCGTACTGATTCACAAGTAAAACGTTATCCTATGTGTTACTATCACTATCGTTTCGGTGTGGAAACAAAAAAATGTTCCCTGCCGTGTAGTTTCAATCAACAGGGAAACCAATAAAGACTTCATCGGTGGCGGCCGATGAAGTCCAATTTGTAAATACGTCTAGCCGCCTGTTCATCACGGATCGAAACACACAATTCAAGTTCCTGATAGATACTGGAGCTGATTTCTCAATACTACCAGTGTCTCGATTCAAATTGTATGCAGCGAATGGTTCGGCTATTCCAACCTACAGTAACAAGTTGCTATCAATGAACTTGGGCCTTCGTAGGAAGTTTGATTGGAATTTTATAATCGCCAATGTTTCAAAACCAATTTTGGGTGCCGATTTCTTGAAACATTACGGTCTTGTGGTAGATGTAAAACGTAGATGCCTGAGCGATACTCAAACAAAGTTGAGTACCCAATGTGCATCGGAACACACTAGATATGAGTCAATCTTTTCCATTCAGAATGACCACAAATTCAAAGAGCTTCTAAACTCATTCAAGGAGGTGACAATGCCTGTTTCATATAACTATAATAACGAGCCTAAGACTACGGTTCGCCACCAGATTATCACCACTGGTCAGCCTGTATTCTCGCGTGCACGGCGGCTAAATCCGCAAAAACTGCAAGCAGCCAAGCAGGAGTTTGAGTATATGTTGAAGCAAGAAATTTGTAGACCATCCAAGAGTGAATGGACGAGTCCACTAAATATGGTGCAAAAAGAAAATGGTTTGTGGCGACCTTGTGGCAATTACCGTCGACTTAATGCCCAAACAGTTCCTGACCGCTATCCTATTCCACACATGCAAGATTTTACGCATTCGCTGAATGGAAAACGCATTTTTACAACGTTGGATTTAGAAAAGGAGTACTTTAATATACCGGTTGCTGAAGAGGATAGAGAAAAAACAGCAATAATTACACCTTTCGGCCTGTACGAATTTAATGTGATGACTTTTGAACTTTGTAATGCAGCACAATCATTTCAAAGGTTCATGGACCAAGTTCTTTTCGGATTTAAGTTTGCCATATGTTATATTTATGATATTTGCATCGCATCCGATAACATAGACGAGCACATACAACATGTGCGCAGCGTGCTACAACGTCTCCAAGAACATGGTTTGAAAATAAACATTGCAAAATGTGTGCTCGCAGAGGAAGAAGTAACATTCCTAGGTCCTCTCATGAATCATAAAGGAATTCGTCCCCCAGGCAAGAAAATTGAGACGATTGCAAATTTTCCAAAACCAAAGGTAGTGCATGAGCTACGGCGATTCATTGCAATTATCAATTTTTATCGACGTTTTATTCCAAAAGCGGCGGAGATCCAGAGACGGCTTCAGAACTTAATTAAGGGTAACAAAAAACAGGACAAAACTGTTATTGAATGGACCGCGGATGCAGATAACGCATTTGCGGAATACAAAGAAGCCTTAATTAATGCAACAACAATCGTTCATCCAATTCCAAACGCAAACCTTGTACTTCACGTGGATGCCAGTAACGTAGCTGTTGGCGCTGCATTAAATCAAATCAATAACGGACAAGTCGAGCCTTTGGGGTTTTACTCAAAGCGGTTGACGAATACTCAAGCCAAGTACAGCACGTACGACCGTGAGTTGCTCGCGATTTACCAATCCGTTAAATATTTCATACATGTGATTGAAGGTAGACGTTGCACTATTTTTACTGATCATAAGCCGATAACGTATGCATTTCGACAGAAACCGGAAAAGGCATCGCCACGCCAACTAAGGCATTTAGATTACATCGGTCAATTCACAACTGACATTATACATATAGCTGGTAAGAATAATCCGGTAGCTGATTTTCTGTCACGCATCGAAACTATCAGCAACGAAGACCTAGTTGACTTTGATCAATTAGCAGAAAGCCAGAAAACCGACATTGAAACAAATGGTTTTCTGTCTAAAACGAATAAATCTGCACTTCAACTGAAATGGATACTCATTCCAAATGCATCTAAGGAAATTGCATGTGATGTATCATCAAATCGTGTGCGTCCTTTTGTAACTGAACAGTTTAGACAACGTGTCTTTAATTCAATACATAATTTAGCACATGCTGGTCGGCGAGCCACTATTAAGCAAATAGCAGAACGTTTCGTATGGCCGGGCATGGCAAAAGACATTGCGGAGCGAGTTAAATTATGTCTTCCGTGCCAACGAGCAAAAGTCACGCAACATAATAGATCAGCACGTTAAAGTAGTTTTTTTAAAGTGCACTAGACTCATGTTGAAGTATTTGAACAGTGTTAAATACTATATGTCGAATGATGTTCAACCTAACATGCTAAAATACATGGGTGGCTTACAGAATCCCATTTAAATCATCCAAATCAGTTTCAGAACTTTCTTATAACTAGACTCTTTCGCAAGCATTGTTATTGGTGTGTTGTGAAAAAGAAATCAAGTATCGCGCATTAAATATGTACATATATGTATGTTAGAAATAAAGTTTGTAAAAATGGTTTCATCTATAGTCTGTGCAGTATATATACTAACTTTCTGCCTCACTTCCTTTATCTTAAGTGAATGCTTTCTTCACATACACAGACCATATTTTTACAAGTAGGGTGACCAGATGTACTCTGCTGTCAATTATTTATAAGGTGACCATAAGTCAACGGGGTGGCTCGTTTCTAACATATACATATATACATATTTAAATATACTTCTGTTCGTTATATTATAATAGTTATATTTTAAAAATAATAATTTCTTCTTTAAATTGTATTTATGCTTTAATTCAGTTCTTATACTGGTACGATAATTATGATGAATTATATTATACTAAATTCTACTATAATATATTATATTATAAGTCAATATGATATGAATTAAGTTTTGATTTGTTTCAGAATTTCTATTATTTATGGATTCAGGCACTTTAAGCATTGGCGCATACATATGTATAATGTCATATTTGATGCTTAAATTTACGTTTACTATTTGAATAGTATTACTATATTCTCCAAATGTGCAAAAACGAAAAATCTTGTTTATTTCTAAAAACAGTTAATTAAATTCAAACTCCTATGTTTACGATCAAATCAGATTTTATAAGATATTCTCTGGCTTAAACGTTCCATAAAATATGTTAAAAAACCAACTATCTTTTATAACAAATTGTAATTGATGTAATTGTTGATCTTGTTGATAATAATAATTGATGAACAATTAAGCATAATATAAATAGAGTTCCACCTTATTTAACATGTTGTTTCAACGATTTTGATAGTTAACTATTTAGATCAGAATGTGTAAAATAAGCAACTAAAGTTTTTGAAATTTCAATTAATAAATGCAGTACATTGAATTCGTCTTTCTTTAAAAGATCTACCATAATAAGGTTTAAGTTATGGCATAAGCATGATAGCCATTTATTATTTTAAAATGCTACTTTTACATTGGATCTATTATCTGCTACTATAACACTTGACCGAATACAGTCGTTCAACTTCAATTCACTAAATATATATCATATACCACTTGTAATATATTATCACCGATTTTGGGTTCTTAGTGTATGAAAACTTCGCTGTGTATATTGTTCTGTCCACTTATCGGTGGTAAAAAGAATTTGTTGTCCCTGCAGCATCTTTCTTAGTTTTAAGATTAATTAGTCGATTAAGTTTTTCTTGACACAAATAACTCTTCAATTACTTAACTCTCATACTTTGCTCCAATAAAAAATATTGCGCCAATTTTTTAAAACTATCACCTAACAAGAATCATGTGGTATTAATAAATGATTACATATTCTTAACAGAAAACTTACCTTCCATAATCTTAAAAAGCTTCAAATCGGTTGTGCAAAACAAAAGTTATGAACAAGATCGTCCTTAACGTTAATTGGAACATCTTTTTTAATAAAATTTTTCATTATATTTTGCAATCTTCCACCTTCTAATTTTGAAATTTTAGCGCAATGGTGGCGGAGAAAGCCACCAGTTTCTGCACGGGGTGAGTACGTCACAATATTATTACACTTAATGTTTCAACAAGATGAAAATTTTACTTTTGCAAAAGACTCAGACGGTATTAGTTGAATACTGCTATCGCAGCAGCTCATTTATATAGCATCTCTCTAAACCATATAATGGCGTTCTTAACTGCTATTCGTCTGTGCAAGTGAAGTGGGTATGTCGCAATACTCCTCAAAGGATGCAGTGACGTGATGACACGTTCCTAACCCATCTTAAAATCTAATCTAATCTATCATATAAGTCCTCATATGTATCTTCTAAATCACAATTTTTAGAAAGCCTTTTAAAATATTACCTATTTTGATATTAAATCAACGTTCTTACCACAGTCGTACTTCAATATCTGTTTACGCTAAATTATTGGAACAATTCATTTAATTTAGACAAATAATATAAAATGTTATAAACTTTATAAACCTTATATAAAACCTATTCAACAAAATAAAAGATTATTCCAATTAAATAATTAGGGAAAGTTCACTCTTCATCTATTATTATGTTAGTTATCAGGAACCTGCTACTTTCAATTGTTCGGTAATATGGCGTTTACATTGGCCGAAAATGGCTCATTTTGGTCAAAAATCGAAAATGAGTATCGAATGTCTCATTCTTGTATATAAAATTTCAAGCGCAAAAATGAGCAATTTTCTCACATTCTGTATGAAAGACGTTCGAATGCATTCCACATATGTTCCAAGTGCAAAGGAATCCATTGAACATACCTTAAATAAAAGCTTTTCATAGCATTTTGACAGTTTGAGAAAGCTGTTTTTGACATATTTACAAAAAAAGGTAAACAAATGTTTGGTGATTGCATTTTCTTGAAAACGATGCACCTGTTTTTAGAACTTCTACTTCCTAAAAGGTAATTAATGGAAGTTAAAAATATGTTTTAAGTTTATATTGTAAGGTTTGAAAGCATATTTAACCTTCATGCAATATTTTTTTGGCACAGGGCAAAAATCAAATCAACAAGCAAGTTCCAAAATCAGCTGTTTAAAATGAAAACAAACGAATTACAACGAATGTAAACATTTTCAAATGGGTCATTCAAAATGAGCCATTTTCGGCCAATGTAAACGACATATAAGACCGCAACACAATCTACATATGTGTCCACACATTCGCTGTTGACTATATACGAATAGATCAACACCCTATAGGCACTGTTTTTATTATAAATTGTAGTAAATGCAATCCAGAATATTGCTTGGAAATAAAAATAAAAGTGAATAGGAATACTCAAAAATGTAATAAAAGCGGGTTTTTTGAATGAAGGTTTCTTTATACCCTAGATACAGGGTTGCATATGTTTATTGTGTCTATCAATTGTTTTTCGTATTTATGCTGCATACGTCGACATAACTAACATTAAAATATTTACATAGCCATAGGGCCTCATAAAAGTTGTACATATTTTTTAAATCTTTAACGCTTACCAGAAAAAAATAATTTTGTTTATCTCTTATTACGTGAATAAGAGAACCTTTTAACAATGAAGATATTCAGTGTTAGTCGCACCTGTGTTCAATCTATTTGGCTCTCTCTCTTATACAGGATGTGAGAGTAAAAAAGAAACAGTAAAATCGATATTTTTTCGATATTCTTGACTATCTGAATGCCAATTCACTGTGTGAAATACTATAATTATTAACAATTAATATCACAATTTAGTTAGACATTTGTGATAAAAATAAAAATCATAAAAATTATATTATTAAGGGCATTCAGATGAGATCGGTTAAACTTCTGTATAAAAAAAAAATCAGCTGATTTTTATTATTGTATCGGATTATTGTATGTTTGAAAACATAAATAAAGATATAAAATAAATAAAAAATGAAGTAAAAGAAGAAATTTTGCTTTAATTTCTAATATTATTATAGTTACTTTCTTTTGTTTGTATTAAAAACAAAGTGATGAAAATAAAGCTCAGCTGTTTTGATCGTTCAGTTTTACAACGATCATTATCACTTTACCATCTACCGATCTACATCTGAATACCACTGTATTATTAATATTCATAAATAAATTTTGATTTTAAAAATTTATTTTTCTATTTTCAGAAATCTAGCTTTACAAAATTTGATGCTCTCCAGAAACGGAATCTTACTAATGTACGTTTAACAATGCTGCTAAAGCTCATAATATTTTTACTGTAAATATTCATAATGTATAAAGTACATTGTTATATAATATTGGAGAAGGTATGGTAATATTATTAAAAACAGCTGCATTCTGCTGCTCCGATGTGAGACAAAAAACAGTTCTCTTGCTGCAAAAAGTCATAATTTTAATACTAAGAGTATAAAAATAAAATATAAATTCATACGAAAGTTTTTCTCGAACGTCACTTATGGACATTCATATTCGCCACAGATATGATTCATATGTGTTTTCGTTAACGAGTGCTGATGCTAATGAATCAGCGTCAAAAGAGTAGCGTACATAGCAGTAAACTCATAAGTCATAGCAAATACTCGAGTGTATACATCAATGAATGTACTCATCGAAAATGAATGACTGCTGATTCAATCAGTTTTGGCATTCACAAAATTTTTGTTTTTTTTTGCAATAGGTGGAAAGCATTAAATGCCAGCGCGTGACACTTGAACCCACTAAAACCATCTCTCAGGGATGCGTAGAGAATAGATTCTGAGCAGGGGACCGTGCAAGTCCGAAGCTGGGAATCTCATTCCAGAATACAGGGGAAAAATTGGAGTATATGATCAAAAGGATTAACATTTATAAATTAAATATATCTAAGCCATAAAGAAAAATTTTTTAAATTTTAAATGAAGTTAAAACAACTAGGATAAATTAATCATTTAAGGGTAAACTATATAAGGGGTTACTATAATCATGATTATACAACGGCATTATAGAGAAGGAGTGGGCAATGTGTTCCAAATGGGGAGCTAGGAACTGGGGAGTGTCGGTTTTTAGGTTCAAATGTCGAAAAGATGCATTTTTAATGATGTGATCAACGTGAGGAAAAAAGTAATGTTTAGGGGAGAATACTTTTCCTAGATATTTAGATTTGTCAATAAGTTTGACAAACGACTCATCAAGTTCAAGCTTTATATTACAAGCCTTGTATCTCCTGAGACATTGCTAAAACTGCCCGTTAAGGCAACAGTTGAAACTTTCAGTGGATTCAGTTTTAGTTTCCATGTATGTTTGGAAATGGATAAGGACTTTAAGTATTTGTTGAGGGAATTACTGACCATTCGGGGATAAGCGAACCTGCAGTAAACTAGACAATCATGACCGAAACAAGTTTGATTGACACTGAAGGAAGGAACGGGAATGTCTGAGATAAAAATATTAAAAAGTAGAGGACCTAGAGCAGAAGCTTGGAACCGACCCGGATCATAAAACTTCTACCAGACAAGAATTGGTAGGCAATGCTCCAGAGAGAAGGAGGGAAATTGAGCAGGTGAAGCTTAAAGATACGACTCTCGATCCACACTGTATCAAAGCCCTTTTCTATATCTAGGCTCACAGCTACGGTAGGTTGAGAGTTGGAAAAATCTACGCAGATATCGCTTTGGAATTTGTTAAGCGCATTCCCGTTGAGGTATTGTTTCGAAAACCGAATTCGAAAATTGGAAGAACTCGACAATGAGTAATGAAGTACTTAAGTTTGGTCACAATGAAGGATTCATATAGTTTATTTAAAGAATTTAAAAGAAAGGTCTGTAGCTTGAGGGAAGTGATTTAGATTCACCGTTTTTATGGACGGAGACAACTATTGCCTTCTTCCAGGACTTAGGAAAATGACCGATGTTATAGACATTATTGTTGCACATTTGCAAAGAAAAAGCAGATACTTTGCGAAAAGGGTTGTTAGAAATTTCCATCCCATTAATGTCAAGTGTGTTGGCACAGTTTGGCAGGTTAACGCTCGCAGAAGTCAGTTATACTTTGTCCGAAGTTGTCGTATAAATCATGAACGAAGTTGCAGGTCATAGCATTGAAATTGGGATTATCATCACCTAAGAAGGCTCTATGCAAAAATTTTGTGTCAGCGCTATTGTTGGCTAAGTAAAAATATTGTGTGTCTTTTAATTGTTTTTGCGTTTGTGGTATGATTTTAGTATAATTTGTTGCTGTAGCATTGTAAACGCATATATTTTGTTTGTCTTCTTTAATATTTCATGTTTATAGAAAAGTGGCATAAGTACTTTTATTTCTATGTATGAGTCAGGTGGAGGTAGGTGTAGAAAACAAAATAGAGTGAATGTAAATGAATACAGCTAATGACAAGAGTGTTAAGTTCTCATTGCAGTTCTCTGATGTAATTTGTCAATTATGATTCAACAATTAACATATCTATATAGGTTCTCAATGTTTTAAAACAGCTAAATTATTTATATAAAAAAGGTGAATGAACAGCGAAGCGAAAGCAATTATCAGAATTTAGAAAATTTGAAAATAAATCAGTGAAATATGTGCATTTAGGTCAGCGGTGTCGTATGTGCACTGCATTCCTAACATTGCTTTTAGTTCATTATTCATTTTAATTTTCAATTTTATATTAATTTTTTTTGTATACAAAATGTAGTTTACTTGCATCATGTGCACATATTCAAGATATGACTTTGCGAAAACATACATAACATTGAACAGATTGCAACAGTGATGTCACATAGCGACTTTAGCAAGCGACTTGTTGTTTTTTATCAGACTTCGGAGCAAACTAAGCATTCTTTTATAATATTTAATAATTAACAATCGCTGTATTTATGGGTAAAAAAAGTATTAAAGTTTAACATACTTGCTGTGCCAATAATTATGTTCGTCACTATGTATTAAAGAATGATCTTAAAACAGAAATATATGATACAAAAGGTTTTATCACTCATTTCAATATTGAATTAACTGTTGTATATAAGCTGTTGTTTATCTAATTTATTAAAAAAAAACCATTTTTTCTTTTTTAAAAAACCTCACAAATAGAATTTGGACAATGAAAATGAATCCACCTGTCACATTTGCCAAAAGCCAGTATATAAAATGGAGGAAATCAAAGCGGAAAAATTTAAATATCATAAAACTTGTTTTAGATGTACTGAATGTAACAAACAATTGAAGTACGTATTAATGGTTTTACATTACATATAACCAAAATATAGTAAATTGTTTCATGAATAGAGTGGATAACTATCAAAGTCACGAAGGGGCGCCATTTTGCATAGTGCATTTTAAGCAACTTTTTTCTCCGAAATGCGTTGAAGATAATGAACCTACTCAAGCACAAAAACCGGAATTAATTATTAGAGAGAATCAACCTGAACAATTACCCTCAGATGTAGTAAAAGGTACAAATGTGTTATCATCAGTAAATTAATAGGCACTGATTGACTTGTATAAGAGAAGTTTCTTATAATTGTAATTGCTAGATTTTAAACGAATTTGTTTATGTACTTATAGCATCTATAAAGTCAGATCTTGGTTTGGAAGAGTTACAGCAATTAAATCTTCGAGCTAAATTTCAAGTATTTGAAAACAATAATCAGCAACAAAAACTCACAGATAATAAAAAAGAACAGAATAACGTAGTCAAGAGCAGTCGATCAATTTCCGAAAGAAAGGCCCAACTGCAAGAAAATAACTTAGCTGTAAGCGAAGGATATGTTACCGAGAGCTATAAGGACTCTGGTTCTGATCACAATAGCGATGATGACGATTTTACTGACTTAAAGGACGGATATTCTCATGAACAACTTAGTTGTAATGGAAAAGCTCTGTCAGCATTGAAGAAGAATTTTGAAAGCGGTTCTAAATTGTCTAAAGAAGAACGTAGGGAAGAAAGAAAACAAGAAATACAAAACATAAGATCGCGTTTGTTTATGGGTAAACAAGCCCGAATCAAGGAAATGTATCAACAAGCAGTAGCAGAGTCAGAAAAAGGTAGAAATGCATATTATTTTAAATTCTGCATCTTGTATTAAACTATTGGTCTTCCAGCTATATTATCAATCAATAAAAAGCCAGATCTTGATATAGGTGGTAATGCTCATATTTTAAAGGAGCTTTTTGAAAAAGGTGAACTTCTTAATGGCACTGACTTAGAGGATGATGAAGATGGCAAAACAGTGCGCCTAAATACGTTGCAAAGTGAAGCAGATGTTTTTGAATCAGGTACATCAACTACAAATTGAAGCAAACATATTGTATAAATTATAGGCGTTAGTTTTGTAAACATATTGCAAAAATCAGTTTTTTCAAAGAGAACATACCTAACAACAACACTGCTGTCCTACTTAGCTTAAATTCTTTGAAACCTCTTAACCGATTAGCACCTCATGACGCATGTCCAAAACGGTGATCTAGTCTACTGTAATAATTTTTAGAAATACATATGTCCGTACTTATATTATATACTTGTAAAATTGAACACACCATAATTATGCAAATCTTTGTATTTAAGATGCATCAAAATAGAGCATTTAATAGCAATTTAAATGTTGCCCTCTAAAGTAGTGCTTATTTTATGGAGTCTTCTTCTAAGATGCTTATAGAAGATTAGGTCTTATATAACATCTATATTATGGGATGCAAGAATGATTCCGGCTGTAGTTCTTATCACTATATAGATGTTCAAAGTAAGCATAGGCTTTGTTTACATTATTAAATGTTCAGTTCAGTTAACGATAAATATTTTTGCTTTTTTGAACTAACTTAAAATAATAATTCAATATTGAATTTGTTACTCGACCTGGACAAGTTAATAATGTTTTTTTACATATTTTATTTCCGGGGACTTCTTTTTTAATTTAAATGTTTGTTTAATATTTTCAAAAATTCTATACTTCGACTCTTCTTAAGAGTCATAATCAGGATAAGAAATCTGAAAAGATAATTACAACAATTTTTCTATTATTTTATTAACTAGTTACTTGATTTTTATACTAATTAATTTACAT